GATGTGTGATTTATATACCTCTGATGTGTGATTTATGGTTTTTTGATGTGTGATTTATGTTTTTCTGATATGTGATTTATGTTTTCTGATGTGTGATTTATGTTTTTCTGATGTATGATTTATGTTTTTCTGATGTGTGATTTATGTACTTCTGATCTATGATTTATATACTTCTGATGTGTGATTAATGTTTTTCTATGTGTGATTTATGTTTTTTGGATGTGTGATTTATGTTTTTCTGATGTGTGATTTATGTTTTTCTGATGTGTGATTTATGTTTTCTGATGTGTGATTTATGTTTTTTGGATGTGTGATTTATGTTCTTCTGATGTGTGATTTTTGTTTTTCTGATGTGTGATTTATGTTTTTCTGATGTGTGATTTATATACTTCTGATGTGTGATTTATGTTTTTCTGATGTGTGATTTATATACTTCTGATGTGTGATTGATGTTTTTCTGATGTGTGATTTATGTTTTCTGATGTGTGATTGATGTTTTTCTGATGTGTGATTTATCTTTTTCTGATGTGTGATTTATATACTTCTGATGTGTGATTTATGTTTTTCTGATGTGTGATTCATGTTTTTCTGATGTGTGATTTATGTTTTTTTGATGTGTGATTTATGTTTTTCTGATGTGTGATTTATGTTTTCTGATGTGTGATTGATGTTTTCTGATGTGTGATTTATATCCCGATAATGTGTGATTTATATACTTCTGATATGTGATTGATGTTTTTCTGATGTGTGATTTATGTTTTTCTGATGTGTGATTTATGTTTTTCTGATGTGTGATTTATGTTTTTCTGATGTGTGATTTATATACTTCTGATGTGTGAATTATATACTTCTGATGTGTGATTTATGTTTTTCTGATGTGTGATTTATGGTTTTCTGATGTGTGATTTATATACCTCTGATGTGTGATTAATGTTTTTTTGATGTGTGATTTACGTTTTTCTGATATGTGATTTATGTTTTCCTGATGTGTGATTTATGTTTTTCTGATGTATGATTTATGTTTTTCTGATGTGTGATTTATGTACTTCTGATCTATGATTGATATACTTCTCATGTGTGATTAATGTTTTTTTTATGTGTGATTTATGTTTTTCTGATGTGTGATTTATGTACTTCTGATCTATGATTTATATACTTCTGATGTGTGATTAATGTTTTTTTATGTGTGATTTGTGTTTTTTGGATGTGTGATTTATGTTTTTCTGATGTGTGATTTATGTTTTTCTGATGTGTGATTTATGTTTTTCTGATGTGTGATTTATGTTTTCTGATGTTCTTCTTCTGATGATTTATGTTTTTGATGTGATTTATGTTTTTCTGATTTGATGTTCTTCTGATGTGTGATTTATGTTTTTCTGATGTGTGATTTATGTTTTTCTGATGTGTGATTTATGTTTTCTGATGTGTGATTTATATACTTCTGATGTGTGATTTATGTTTTCTGATGTGTTTTATCTGATGTGTGATTTATGTTTTCTCTGATGTGTGATTTATGTTTCTGATGTGTGATTTATGTTTTTCTGATGTGTGATTTATGTTTTTCTGATGTGTGATTTATGTTTTTTGATGTGTGATTTATATACTTTCTGATGTGTGATTTATGTTTTTCTGATGTGTGATTTATTTATGTTTTTATGATGTGTGATTTATGTTTTCTGATGTGTGATTTATGTTTTTCTGATGTGTGATTTATGTTTTCTGATGTGTGATTTATGTTTTTCTGATGATGTGATTTATATTTTTCTGATGTGTGATTTATGTTTTCTGATGTGTGATTTATGTTTTTCTGATGTGTGATTTATATTTGTATTTATGTTTTCTGATGTGTGATTTATGTTTTCTGATGTTTTTATATACTTCTGATGTGTGATTTATATACTTCTGATGTGTGATTTATGTTTTCTCTGATGTGTGATTTATATACTTCTGATGTGTGATTTATGTTTTTCTGATGTGAGATGTACGTTTTTCTGATGTGTGATTTATGTTTTTCTGATGTGTGATTTATATACTTCTGATGTGTGATTTATGTTTTTTGATGTGTCATTTATGTTTTTCTGATGTGTGATTTATGTTTTCTGATGTGTGATTAATGTTTTTCTGATGTGTGATTTGTGTTTTTCTGATGAGTGATTTATGTTTTCTGATGTGTGATTTCTGTTTTTTTTATTTGTGATTTATGTTTTTCTGATGTGTGATTTATGTTTTTCTGTTGTGTGATTTATGTTTTTCTGATGTGTGATTTATATACTTCTGATGTGTGATTTATGTTTCCTGATGTGTGATTTATATACTTCTGATGTGTGATTTATGTTTTTCCGATGTGAGATGTACGTTTTTCTGATGTGTGATTTATATACTTCTGATGTGTGATTTATGTTTTTCTGATGTGTGATTTATGTTTTCTGATGTGTGATTTATATACTTCTGATGTGTGATTTATGTTTTTGTGATGTGTGATTTATGTTTTTCTGATGTGTGATTTATATACTTCTGATGTGTGATTTATGTTTTTCTGATGTGTGATTTATGTTTTCTGATGTGTGATTTATGTTTTTTTTATGTGTGATTTATGTTTTTCTGATGTGTGATGTATGTTTTCTGATGTGTGATTTATGTTTTTCTGATGTGTGATTTATATACTTCTGATGTGTGATTTATATACTTCTGATGTGTAATTTATGTTTTTCTGATGTGTGATTTATGTTTTTCTGATGTGTGATTGATGTTTTTCTGATGTGTGATTTATGTTTTCTGATGTGTGATTGATGTTTTTCTGATGTGTGATGTATGTTTTTCTGATGTGTGATTTATGTTTTTCTGATGTGTGATTTATGTTTTTCTGATGTGTGATTTATATACTTCTGATGTGTGATTTATGTTTTCTGATGTGTGATTTATGTTTTTCTGATGTGTGATTTATATACTTCTGATGTGTGATTTATGTTTTCTGATGTGTGATTTATGTTTTCTGATGTGTGATTAATGTTTTTCTGATGTGTGATTTGTGTTTTTCTGATGAGTGATTTATGTTTTCTGATGTGTGATTTATGTTTTTTTTATTTGTGATTTATGTTTTTCTGATGTGTGATTTATGTTTTTCTGATGTGTGATTTATGTTTTTCTGATGTGTGATTTATATACTTCTGATGTGTGATTTATGTTTCCTGATGTGTGATTTATATACTTCTGATGTGTGATTTATGTTTTTCCGATGTGAGATGTACGTTTTTCTGATGTTAGATTTATATACTTCTGATGTGTGATTTATGTTTTTCTGATGTGTGATTTATGTTTTCTGATGTGTGATTTATATACTTCTGATGTGTGATTTATGTTTTTCTGATGTGTGATTTATGTTTTTCTGATGTGTGATTTATATACTTCTGATGTGTGATTTATGTTTTTCTGATGTGTGATTTATGTTTTCTGATGTGTGATTTATGTTTTTCTGATGTGTGATTTATATACTTCTGATGTGTGATTTATGTTTTCTCATGTGTGATTTATGTTTTTCTGATGTGTGATTTATATACTTCTGATGTGTGATTTATGTTTTCTGATGTGTGATTTATATACTTCTGATGTGTGATTTATATACTTCTGATGTGTGATTTATGTTTTTCTGATGTGTGATTTATGTTTTTCTGATGTGAGATGTACGTTTTTCTGATGTGTGATTTATATACTTCTGATGTGTGATTTATGTTTTTCTGATGTGTGATTTATGTTTTCTGATGTGTGATTTATGTTTTTTTGATGTGTGATTTATGTTTTCCTGATGTGTGATTTATGTTTTCTGATGTGTGATTTATGTTTTTCTGATGTGTGATTTATGTTTTCTGATGTGTGATTTATGTTTTTTTGATGTGTGATTTATGTTTTCCTGATGTGTGATTTATGTTTTTCTGACGTGTGATTTATGTTTTTCTGATGTGAGATGTATGTTTTTCTGATGTGTGATTTATGTACTTCTAATGTGTTATTTATATACTTCTGATGTGTGATTTATGTTTTTCTGATGTGTGATTTATGTTTTTCTGATGTGTGATTTATGTTTTCTGATGTGAGATTGATGTTTTTCTGATGTGAGATGTATGTTTTTCTGATGTGTGATTTATATACTTCTGATATGTGATTTATGTTTTTCTATGTTGATGTGTGATTTATATACTTCTGATATGAGATGTATGTTTTTCTGATGAGTGATTTATATACTTCTGATATGAGATGTATGTTTTTCTGATGTGTGATTTATATACTTCTGATGTGTGATTTATGTTTTTCTGATGTGTGATTTATGTTTTTCTGATGTGAGATGTATGTTTTTCTGATGTGTGATTTATATGCTTCTAATGTGTGATTTATATACTTCTGATGTGTGATTTATGTACTTTTGATCTATGATTTATATACTTCTGATATGTGATTTATGTTTTTCTGATGTGTGATTTATATACTTCTGATGTGTGATTTATGTTTTTCTGATGTGTGATTGATGTTTTTCTGATGTGTGATTTATGTTTTTTGTTATCTGTGATTATGTTTTTCTGATGTGTGATTTATGTTTTTCTGATGTGACATGTATGTTTTTCTGATGTGTGATTTACATACTTCTGATATGTGATTATGTTTTTCTGATGTGTGATTTACATACTTCTGATATGTGATTATGGTTTTCTGATGTGTGATTTATGTGCTTATGAATACCACAACATCAGAACATCAGAACATGCAGTCTGTTATGTGTATATTTGCTTATATATGACCTTAGGTATATTCTGTTCTGTTCACTTACAAATTTAAATAAGGTTATATGATCTAGAGGAATTTCAGGAGATATAGCACGTTGTGCAATGCTCAACCGAGATCCAGGTGATCAGACATCATGTTCATGATCATGAGACAATTTAGAAATATTAATGAAAACAGATATCTGATATTCATACCTTTTTAGAGTTTGTGACAAATATACTTACTTGGTATGTAATATCTTGTCGACGGACTTGAGGTAGATACCGCGGCCGTTGCAAATACAACATCATGCAAATAACATGTTTTGGTTTCGCCAACGTAGAAAAACGACGCGCACGTGTTGCTAGTAATGCACAATGATGAACACCGTGTTCTCGAAACTTGTCCCACCGTCTGAGATGCAGGGGCCGTTTGTATTTTCTCTCTGACTTCTACAAGTTCAGTAAAGGATAACGTACTAACGTTACCTTCGCAGCGGACACTGGCGAATGTGATTACTACGATCAAACGGTGAATATACCAGATCATTGTTGACCAAACACTGGTATTCCGTAAACGATTAGCACTTGTCATTCCAAGAGCGATTGATGATGTGACTTCAAGGACCAATTTTCTTCCGCAACAACAGTGTCACAATCGATTCTAGCTTTTGAATACCCTTTGCATTAATATCTGATGGTCCCTTACTCTACAATAAGACACAAAGGCACTGCCGAGCGTGTATTGATCTCTTGTGTTCCCTACAGATATGTTGCAAGTCAGGACTATGCATAAAAGCTCGAGTCATTTGGTGTTTCCTTTCAAGTTTGCAAAAGTGTACCGCCTATCATTATCATCGAAGCACTTCCGTTCACATTAGCATTACGCCAACTCAAACAATATGCATGAAAACGAAAAATGTAAAATTTGTATTCAATCACATACCATCCATTTCCAGACCAGCAAAATTCTAATTCTAACGAAGGCATGTAATAACTATATAAATACAGAAACCAGGCACTTATGATAGTCCATGTTTGCTTTTTGTCCGGCTCACGGCAATCAATAGTATCGGCGTTATCCGGTACCATCCACATCTCTCCATCCGTTATAACCACAGACTTCTTTAAACTGACTGACCATAATTGGACTAAATTTTAGTAGTTTTATTGCCTAAAAACGAAAAAAAGAAATTAAATTGCGGAACTTATTCAGACCAGAACGACTTGATACGATGTGTATCAAAACAAAGGGATTCATATGTCTTTATATTGCGTTTTGACAGCGATTAATTATAACAAGGAATTATTGTTTAAGAATATCGATATCAATGGTCCTATGTAGCTATGAAGAAGTGACTTGAGTTGGAGTTAAATACCCACAGGAAATGTTAAAGAAATGAGCAAGTAATGTATCGATGAAAAGAAACGATACTGAAATACCTCTAGACATGCGTACTTTGACACGTTTTACGTCTCAGTACAATAAATACGATAGGTAAATAGCAAATTCTTCGCTTTGTATGCACCACTACTATCGACTGTATTTGGATACATGTCCGTCTTCATATGTTTACCCAAAGGGCTATGCACACATTTTGACATGGTTGACAACGATAGTGGTATCTAAAGCAGTAAAGGCAAGATATCTTTTCATGAACATTGTATTATGGTGCGACGTTTCGGTACAGATTCTTGTAACCTATGAAGATCCGGGTCAGAATTGGTCTTCAGCAACACATGGTTGTCGTAAGAGGCTGGCGTAAGGTAAGATCGGGTGGCCAGGCTCCATTACTTGGTTGCCACATGACATCGTATCTCAGTGAGGTAGATCGATGCTCATCCTGTTGATGTTCTGGTCCAGATGATGTTACAGACCGCTGCCACATAGCTGGAATATTGCTAAGTGTGACGTCAAACACCAAACACACAACAAAACAGATCCTTATAACGTCGTCAAACAAGACTGTCAACATAAGGATCTTTACCGAAAGGGGCGGTTGGGTAGCCTAGTGGTTAAAGCGTTGGCTCGCCAAGACTAAGGTCCAGGTTCGATTCCCCACATGGGTACAATCTGTGAAGCTCATTTCTGGTGTCCCCCGCCGCGTAAACTACAACTCACTCACTCTTTACCAAAATGTATCGTCATAATAGAATAGAGATATCTATAAAACTATCTTGCCGCTACAGTTACTGCCAACGTCTAACATGTCAATCAAACAGACAATAGTACATGTATCTAGTCGGTATGGTGAGTTCGATACCTCAAAGGGGAATCTGGTTCTCCTTTGTTACCACGCTTTCATTTCTCAAACAAAAGTGAGATTCTTCATCATGACTTGTTTGTCCCTGTTTATGAATAAACAAGTATTCCGAAGTTGCATATTGATTCCAGATCCCTTGCCACAAACACCAGTAGCGAACACACTCAACAATAGGTTGAAACAGCTCTAACATGAAAACCAGGTTTTGGTTATAGGCTCTCAGTCATGCACATCAGTACATGTGATTATCTGGATGGGTTTCTTTTCTATTGTGTTGTCAGTGAGTATCTGCATCATTAATAAAGATGAAATGAGTTACAATCAAGGCAACAGGCCAGCAAACAAAACGTTTATTCTGCCTAACAACACTTTTGTTTAAACACAATTGATGTTATGTATTTCGTACTAAATCATGACAGAAACATGTAAAGAATGCCCCTAGCGTACCACTTTTTCATTAAAAAGTTGTGTTTATAGAAATGCAGATTGGTGTATTTCGAAACAAAGGAATTTATTTTTCTGACACAATTGGTTTTCCGGAGAGGGTACTTAAGACCATAGCAGTCAATGTAGATATATCATTGCCAGAGTTTTCATCGTAGAATTTGTGTTATCTTAATTTATGGTTAGATTGTCTAAGCTTGCTAACAGCTGAAGGGATCTTTTCTATTGTGTTGACAGTGAGTATCTGCATCATTAATAAAGATGAAATGAGTTACAATCAAGGCAACAGGCCAGCAAACAAAACGTTTATTCTGCCTAACAACACTTTTGTTTAAACACAATTGATGTTATGTATTTCGTACTAAATCATGACAGAAACATGTAAAGAATGCCCCTAGCGTACCACTAGCATTAATCAGTCTTTAAAATATATTTGGGCTCAGAAATATAATGTACATACCCAAGATAAAGTGGCACGTATTAAGTCTGATATACACTCCCTCAAAATCAAGGCTGATTGGTTAACGTTTTAAAAGAAATGCTGTTAAATGTGTTCAATTAAATGTGCATATCTCTTTCAACTCGATTAATACTTGGAGAGAACGCAGACTTGTCTATTCATCAAGTTATAGTCTGTCAACCTAACAGTTGGAACTGCATGTTCTGCAAATACCTTTTTTTCCTATTCGTTTCAATGTAAATTTAAATTAAAAGGGTTTATGAAATGCACTAGTTAACGAACATGCGACTAACATCGTTCAATCAAAACTATTGTGTTTGCACTGAATGTTTCATGATAAAAAACAATCAACATTCACATTTTCTTTCATAAAGAGTATGAAAACCTCTGTAATCAATGATATGTAACTCAACTATACAGGGTTTTATTTAGATTAAATCAATGCAATAGTGCAGAGGGTAGGTACGCTTAAAACTCTCTTGAGTAAGGTGAGACAACATTTGTCATGTGTGGTTCGTTGTGGTCCTAGAAACCCTCAGGAGTCAAGCTGCCAAACACGGTCACCCATCCAAGAAACAACTTTCAAGTAAGGATGAATACCATCAAAGAGAAGACTGAAGAGGTCTGAGCAGCTACTTTTTGTTGTGTTTGTGTTTGTGCTCCTACGTGGGTTTTATAGCTGTTGTTCTTATAATCGGTTATTCATAGTCATTGTTACATACATATGCATCAGTGCGCTGGTTATCGAATTATCGAATGGTCGACATGCAAGGTTTATGATAGTAATCAGCATTTTTCTGGAACTTTTAACTACACGTGTATATGACAGAGTTACAGGGTAATTAGCCTTTCGAATGAAATATTATTCCATGCACAGCGAATGCGACTGTGTGCTTCAGTTCAGACGTCCGTCTAATAAGGATTCACAAATCAATGCAGTAACAACTGAAGAACGCTATTTCTACATGATGGAGTACAAGGTGAAATGCAGTTAAGATTAATTAGTGAGCTGGAGTGCCTGTGAGTCCAGGGTAGGCCGATGGGATGAGGTGTCCTTCATTTCAGTTCATGGAGGGATTGTGTCGTTGGATTTGAACTGACTTACTCACGAATGTTCATATCGACAAACCTCCCCAGTTCCTCCACCACCGTATCACAGACCATTGAAATCCCACTGACTCCAGTCTCTCCTTATATTATATTATAACCACCCTATTAAAACCCCTGCATGACCTCCACATGCCGGCCAATCAAATGTATCGACTCACTGACATATCACTTTTGGATACAGAATAATTTTACAAATAAGGAAAGCTTGAAACCCTCGGTGGAAACAAAACCATTCATCATCCTTCCATTTTACAAATTTTATTGAATAATTATATAATCATGTAACATAAGTGTTTGGTCAGTTCACGGTGATTCATTTCTGTAACGAATACAGATACCAGTGGCGCCCCATATTGTTTATGTTCTCAAAACAATGACGTTGTGATCGCAATTACAAAACTGACAATTACAATTTTTATCTGGACATCCAGATGTGTAGCTCCTTGGATCGGCCCGCACGGGAAAGAGGGCTCGACTTGGGGATGTGTCGGAGGGGGTGGGGTCACACCAACATCAGAGTAATTTGGGTCTGCATCTGAAATAACCAACACGATGTATTCAGACTGTTTTCACTAGTTTGTATCTGAAATAACAAATATAATGTATAAACACTCTTTTCACTGTTTTGTATCTCAAATGACAAATACAATGTATTCTATTTTTTTTTTTGCATCTCAAATAACAAATATAATGTATTGGGACTGCTGTCATGCCCTGTGTCTGAACAACAAATACAATATCTTGACACCGTTCTCACTGTTCCGTATATGAAATAACAAATATTTAGACTGTTCACACTGCTTTGTATCTCAAAAAACTTATACAAGGAATTGGCACTGTGAACGCTGTTTCGTAATTGAAATAACAAACCTAATGCATTGGGACTGCTGTGATGTTTTGTATCTGAGCAACAAATACAATGTATAAACACTGTTCTCAAGTGATTTGTATATGCAGTGACAAATGCAATGTACTGAGACGGTGTCCTATTCTGGTCGATTTAATTAACCCTGAACACACACAAGTCCACACAAGGAATTGGCATGTATCACATGCAATATGTCCACATTAATCTTTTTCGACCTGTCATGTATGTGTATTGTGCTCAAGGATAAACATATCAAATTCGAAAAAGGCAATGCGGTGAATATGTATATAGCACTACAAAAACAATGAAATTTGAATGTTTTTTGTATGAAACAGTTGTATTTATAGACATGCAGATACATGCTTTACGAAAATGATGAAATTTGAAAAGCGTATTTTTCACAAAAAGTTGTGTCTATAGAAATGCAGATTGGTGTATTACGAAAGCAATGGAATTTATTTTTCTGACACAATTGGTCTTCCGGAGAAGGTACTTAAGACCATAGCAGTCAATGTAATCGTAGAATTTGTGTTATTTTTATTTATGGTTAGATTGTCTAAAACTTGCTAACAGCTGAAGGGATGGTGTAAATCAAGCCGGGGTCAATGCAGAAAGCAAATGTACTGTAAGTCCCCATGGTATCAAGTATGGTGATCTACCTTCAGCTGTTGGCAATCTATATCAAGGTTTTATATATGTCTACTGTAGTTAAAATGTTTTAGATTTACATACTCGTTTTATATTCATAACTGTGGTATTCTGGTTGTTTTTACTGTCATTCGTTGACAGCCATTTTCATATTTACATGTATTTATGGTGAATTTAAAACTTGCTTTAGTCACGATATGGCTGAAATATTGCCGATGTGACTGTAAATCTTAACTCACTCACTCAAATTCGAAATAGGCAATGCGGCGATTACGTATACAGCAGCACGAAAACAATGAAATGTGAATGTGTTTGTTTTGTTATGAAACAGCTGCATTTATAGAAATGCAGATACGTGCATTACGAAACTGATGAAATCTGAATACATTGTTTTACAGAAAAAGTTGTATTTATACAAATGCAGAAACGTGTATTACAAAAACAATGTAATTTTAATAGCTTATGATTTTTAGAAAAATATGTATAACGAAAATGATAAACAGTTGTATTTCTAGAATACAGATATGTGTATTACAAAATCAATGAAATTTGAATACCTTAGGGTTTTTTTTAAACAGTCTGTAGAATTCAGACATATGTATTACGAAAACAATGACATTTGGATACCTTATTTTTCAGAAAAAGTTGTGTTTATAGAAAGGCAGATACGTGTTTGACAAAAACATTGAAATTTGAATAGCTTTTTTTCAGAAAAATGTATTTATAGACATACTGATTGGTGCATTACGAAAACAATGAAATTTGAATGGCTTATTTTTTTTAGAAAAAAGTGTACAACGAAAATGATCAAATTTGTATACTTTGTTTTCCTGAAACAGTTGTATTTCTAGATTGCAGAAATGTGTTTTATAAAATCAATGATATTTGAATACCTTATGTTTCAGAAAAAGTTGTATTTATAGAAATGTAGATTGGTGAATTACGAAAACAATGACATCTGAATACCTTATTTTTCAGAAAAAGCTGTATCTATAGGCATGCAGATACAAGTATTTCGAAAACAATGGAATGTAAATACCTTATTTTTCTGACACAATTGCATTTTTTAGACACACAGATTCGTATATTAGGAAACAACGAAATTTGAACAATATTTTTCTGAAACAGCTTTAAATATGCGGATACAAGTGTGGTATGTCCCAGCAAATATTAAGAATGTATGCATTCGTTTCACTAACGAACGTGAGTACTAAACACTTACATGGGCATACTTTACATAGGTTGGGACAGAAGACTTGGGCCAGGGGATTACTATCGCATGCAGCTTCCGGAAAGATCTCTTTGTTACAGAAAACTGGCTCTTTGACGTCATCACAGGACACTGGGAATAAATCAAACAATGTGTGCATCAACTGTAATGTAGGTAGATTCCTAAGGTATCCGTAACGCTGAACATGTAAAGTATCTTTATAAAATATTAACGAAGCTCTGATAGTTCATCGTGCACTTTAGATAGGTCTTATCTGCTTCTTGCAGGATATTAACTCTAATAGATGATACTTAGTACATCTCCTCGCGTCAAATTAGATTGATATTAATGGTTACTAATGGGGACATTATGTTCATTATTGCCATATACTTTAAACAATTGGATCTCGAGATGTCGTAATCATTATGCTGAACACACACAATAAGATATAACACACTGTTTAATGGGGGATAAAGAGTCTTTAATGTAGAATTCACTTAAGATATTTCATATTGTTAGGTTATTTATGCATGATATTTGTATTCAATCAATTTTATTCTTTTTAGACGTAATATCAGCGGTAACCGTTATAATACCTACAAGAGCAGCCTGGTTGTTGATAGAAGTCCGTCTTACAGGAACATGTGCATGCAGATGGATTCAAAATCCCATCATTTCGACAATACTTGTCGCCACAATCTGGAATGCAGATAATTGTTGTTGTTTTTAAGAAATTGTTAACATGGGATGCAAAAATAGAAAACAGGGCGAATGCTTGAATTTATTTATCAGCAGTTGTATTAACATATATTAAGAAGTTCATACCATATTGAATAATAGCTTCAGCTTCATTTACCATTGTGGCTTATGTTCTGATGGAATCGAGGGCGTTGGGGTAGCCTAGTGGTTAAAGCGTTCAATCGTCAAGCCGAAGACCTGGGTTCGATTCCCCATGTAGGTACAAAGTGTGAAACCAATTTCTGGTGTCCCACGCCGTGATTATAATTAAATATTACTAACTATTCCGCCCCCACTCATTCACGGGCTATCGTGGTGATGGGACTTCAGTAAACGGTGTTTCTCTACTCCATATACAGGTACAACTAACGCCATACTCTGCACTGCTCCAAGTATGCATTCAGTTCTGGTGTATAATGTGTGGGCACAGGACTGATTAAAACATTCATCAAGGCTTCTCGTTTCTACATTTCTGATAGCGATTCGGGAATGCTAACATAGTCGCGTTACAATGTTTGCAATTAAACATTAGAGAGCATAGTGTTAAAATTCTTAACCCATAGCCCCTGGGAGGGCACGGAAGCCCCATTTCATTTGAAGTAGTTTTATATCTACCACAGTTTTAATGATATGATATTTGCTCTTTTAATGTACGGCTACAGTTCTCCATAATCCCCAACACCCAAAGAGATGGTGTAAATCCAGCTGGTGTCCATTCAGCCAGCAAAATGACTGTAGGGCTCCATGGTCCCTAGTATGGTGATCTGCCTTCAGCTGTTGGCGATCTGGAACCCTCCTTTATATTGTATTGTTTTCTGTAGTGATACATTTTTAAAGTAGTATAACATGCAGGTGTTAAACCAAATCTGTGATACTCTGGTGCTTTTACTCTCCTTTGACGACATGTTTTTATGGTGTAGATTTGTTGAGGTATAATGCATAGATTGTTCTCGTCATGGTGTGGCTAAATTATAGCCGATGTGACGTTAAATATTAACTCACTCACTCACTTAACACAGAGCTTGTTGAACAAAAAATATCTTCGACTTACCGCAGAGTCCACCGATACATTTGCTAGTTGTACCATTAGCGTATGGTTTACTGTTATCCAAGCGCGAGTTGCCCCTGCACAAACACACCAACACATATTCTGTAACAATTAGTACTTTACTTCATACAAAGGAAACCCGAGAAATAATTAGCAAATAGATGTCAAGAAATGTAATTTGGGCTTATCCGTTGTTTATGGTTGAAAGAGGAAGATAGTGTGTACCCAAAGAACCATTTGACAATAAATTATGTCCCCTGAATCAACCCATATTGAGGACGAGTGTCATGTATTCTTCATTCCCTGCAAGTACCAAGCAACCGGTGAAGATCCAGGTTAGAATTGATCTTTAGTAGCCCATGCTTGTCGTAAGAGGCGACTAACGGGATCGGGTGGTCAAGCTTGCTGACTTGGTTGACACATGTCATCGTAGCCCAATTGCGCAGTTCGATGCTCATGCTGTTGATCACTGGAGTGTCTGGTCCAGACTCGATTATTTACAGACTGACGCCATAAAACTGGAATATTGCTGAGTGCGACGTAAAACTAAACCAACTCACTCACTCACTAAAAGCAGATTCGTTCCTGCTACACCACTAAACACGAACTCGTGCATATGAATCAGTGACAGCAGTTGTCGAAGTTGTATCTATCAGTTTCCTTAAGAAACGTCTGATAACTCTTTAAGTGTCATAGTAAAAATGAATAATTGTCAGTGATTCTAACTCAAACTGTAATAGAAACACGTGTATCAGACAGTTGAAATTTTGAATACTGGTATGTTCAATATAGCAATGTATAGGAATGACAAGCTATATATGGATGACTAACTGTTTATTGTACAATTGCGACTTTTCGGTATAGATACTAATTAGTCTGGTCAATCAAAGGCTGAAAATATGCCAACCTCAAACAAATTGCAAAAGAAATGGTTTCAAGTGTTTTAATTAGAGACATGTATCCTCGATCAATTTCAAAAGTCTAACTTTCACATAGGTGGGGAACATTTCCAAAATTTAGCTTTTTATGACCCACGCTTTCTCAAAATGTCATCCTTAACGTTTTCAGGCTATTTACTGAGCTAAGGTATATATGACTCAAAACAGACACATAACTTATCTAAAACTTCCTGTTGAATGAAAACATTTAACTTGACGAATTAAAAGTTCTTCTGCTTCATATTTACATTCATACTTTTAAAAATTCTTATCTAGAGGTCCTCGTCAAGGTCACCTTGAGAAGCTGCTGGTGAGTTGGAGCAGCTGATATCCCGAAAGTTCTCACACACAGGAGAACGCTGCAAGCCCTGTTTTCGACAGCTGCAACGTTTCTTGTCACAGTCAGTCGTGCAGCTACACCTTCTAATCGTCGATTGATTGGACTATATACCATTTTCATGCTTTCATCCATATATAACTTGTCATTCCTATTACTCAAAATTTCCAGAATGCCCCTCAAACACTTCATGGAAATGTATCTATTTTGAGAGTCTGGGAAAGTTTGAATCTTTCATTATTCGTGCATTTCGATGTTCATTTTGAAAACTCGAATACGCTCATCAGGAACTTTCAATAGTATATGTTAGGAAATGACATTTGGATAAGGAAAACATACAAATTTGATTTCTCACCCTGGTCCATAATTGCAAACATAAACCGATTTCCCGCCACAGAGCGCGAAACCACATCCAATCCGTGTCGTCGCCGCCCACACGAGCTGCACAAAATGAAAACAATGGACTCATTACGTCAGTGATTGACTAAATCCCATGGGAAAGGTGTCGAAGTGAAAGACTTGCGTTCACGTAACTATGAACATCATAACAGTTCGGCAGACTAATGTGTGAAAAACGCCAGAGGGTTATTCATGGCGCTGACGTTATGTTATTCATGGCGCTGACGTTATCTATGGTATGTCGGTGAAGATCGAAGAAAAACATGGTGGTGAGAGACCAAGAGTCGTTATAATGATAATAATAATGGCCATTTATAAAGCACCTGTTTCCACACACGTGTGCAGGCTCAAAGCACTGACACATTATTACCTGTCAGGCGCTAAAAGGTTATAGTGACATGACTGTATACCACCGGGTACCCATTTTCTGCTGGGTGAACGGAGGCAGGTTTCACCAAACTCCCTTGCCTAAGGTGAGACCACATATATCGCATGTCTTTTGTTGTGGGGCAGGGCCCCGTTCCTCAAAGCGATCGTAGCGCTACGACAGTCGTAAGTCTATGTTAAAGTATGGGAGTTACGATCACCTTAGCGCTACGATCGCTTTGAGGAACGGGGCCCAGGATTGAAGTCCTGGAAACTCTCTGGATCCAAACACGATCACCCATCAAAGAGCTCTCCGCGCCCAAAGTTGCTAAACTTCAACTGATTTGTAACCTGAGCTCGATACACCAGATCGCTCACCACCATTATCAGGGAACATCCCTTACTCTAAGTTTTAACCCAAGACAAGATAAATGACAAATATCATTGATTGAATACAAGAGATCCTGGTGGTCAGGTGGTTGGGTTAATACGCTCATATGATATTGAAACTTATACACATTTAACAATTAAACAATTCGAACTGCTTTAACGTGGTTCAGTCAACGTTCAATTATCTTGTTACTGCTTTATAGATACAAACATATCAACTAAACATGAGAATATCATGGGCATTTGGGGATTGAAGTAGTGATTTTGTTGTTAGAAATAATTATTTTTTCTGTTGAGTATATCTTGGTAACCTGTGTATAGGGCGCTGTTTTATCAGCGTTGGCATTGCTGCCATATACGAAGTCCTTTCCCGCGTCCTTCCAAGTGCTGATTGCGTCTGCCCAACTGTCAACACCAACCACAATGTTTTGACCTAAACGGAACCGACCTGAAATGTAAATGATGGCAATGTTTTTTAAGCAAAACAAAAATAACTTTAAATTTCGGAGGCATCCCTAAGCTAGAAAGGCTTAGATAACTTTTCGATTGTCGTAATGTGAAATGGCGTAAATATAACCTGTATAATGAATAACCATGTGTAAAAAGTATAACCTGACATGGATATCTTTGACTTAATAAACCCAATTTCATTTTTTATCAATTTAATCCGACTGAATCTATACACCTGTGTTAGTTCCGTTCTTCACCAGAGGAGGTATTGCCAGACCATAACAACCTTATTATCCACATACACTTTCATGATCTAATTTTCTGTTTCATTATCCTTGCATTTGGTAAGGTTGCATACAAGTTTCTGAATGAATGAGTTCAAAGCTACCGGGAATTGTTCTATGCGATGGTTCATCCGAGCCGTCCACGCAGGCCTCCGCCCACACCTGTGCAACCATGGCAACCTCAGCATCCCAAGACTTAAAATAACAAAAATCCAAATGCTATTTCTTCGAAATACATTTCACATATAACTGCATTTTCTCTGATTCTTAAAGGATTCAATTGCTGAGAGAGAGAGAGAGAGAGAGAGAGAGAGAGAGAGAGAGAGAGAGAGAGAGAGAGAGAGAGAGAGAGAGAGAGAGAGAGAGAGAGAGAGAGAGAGAGAGAGAGAGAGCGATTCACACACTCATTAAATTCTGTATTCTTCGTTAAAATAACGTCAATATACCGTATTTGCAGTTGTTTAATTCATGCCTTATAATTACCTTGGCCTTTGCACTTGCATTTACGATCGCCAAAGATTATTCGCAGCACAGTTGGGACGTGTGTACAGTACAAACAACCAAAGTCTGTAATGACTGTCCTAATATAAAACAGCCTTATGAATATCTGATGAACATCATCGATGTGACACAGGGCAAACTAATTATATATTTTGATTTGACCTATAAATTTACCAATTTCATCATGTTGTCAGCTGCCGGTGTCACGTTCTGTCTGTACAGGTTGTGCTGTTTAAGTATCGAATCTATATCGGATGTAGAAATATTAAAATCTGAAAGAGACAATTTGCATATTTACTTAAAAGTTCCTCGTAAATGCGCAAACAATGGTATTCATTGAACGTTATAAATGTAAAGTGGATGCCACGAAGGCATGGAATTATAGAACGACTCATATTTGACAAACACACATCTGATCATTGTGATACAAATACGTTTCCATTAATGCAGGCGCGTTTCTGTGTTACATTTACATCGTATTTGAACAATCGTACTGATTATCGACAGTTCTAATATTGCAGATGCGTGTTAATTACCATTTTATAGGAAACACTTACATGACGCACATAAACAGTAAATACTTTAGAATAATACTCGTGTCGTTAAGGAATCACCAAATAAAATGGCATTTTCTACGTTCGCATGTAAATATTCCATCATTTCCACAAATACTAACCATTATAATGGAATCAATAAAATGACTGTGAAATATACTCATGCCAATAATGGTTGTCACCCCCTCCCCACCCCAACCCCGCACACACCCCACACACCCTCTCCAATTAAAAATATTGAAGGGGGTGACAACCATTATTGGCATGAGTATAGTAAGATGTCATAATATGGACAACCATAGCTGTCAAGTAAATGGGCGGTATATTATAAGTGGTTCACTGGTCACGAGGGGGATATGGGTTGATGTATCCTCTAGGTTTGTTTGAAAGCCGAGGGGAACATAAACAAACATCGAGGGTACATCAACCCATGGGCCCCGAGGGACCAGTGAACAAAGTATATATATTACCGAACACCTCAATGTTAATTTTGAACTGTTTGAAGCACGGGTATCCGATCACAATTAGGAGTACCAGAGTTAGGCAATAAGCCAATACCGACAACCAAAACACTACGAACACGAAGTACCAAATTCCCAAAGATGGGAACTCCCAGCGGGTAACATAGAAAATGTTACTCGCTTGTAAGTGGGGTACATTGACTGGCTCATCCAATCAGAAAACGACATTGATGTGTGAGGTATAAAGACAAGGCCGAATGTTACTTGAAGTGTCTGCTGTACACTATATGGAGGATGTATTCACAAGACACGGCATGTCTAATGGCTAATATACTCTAAAGCATTTATGTTAAGTTTCAATGAGAATCTGTGAAGTGTTTGTGAAAGACGAGCCATTTTATTACCACGCCATACCAGTCCCAAGAAAACAATGGCCATGTCGTTGGATCGTCCCGATTGACCTCACTGTGGAACTCAAGGGATCTTAACAATACAAGCTACATACTTTATGGAATAGCCTTGAAAGTCCCTTATTCCCTCAATGCCATTTCACAAATTACATCTATAAGCAACAATCAATAACGCCAGTTGAAGAACATAAGGAGTGCACAAAGTCTTAAAACCTTACAACACAAACCATATCATGTGTGACTAGTGAATGAGGGGCGGCGGGGTTTACTTGGTTAAAACGTTCACTTGTCACGCTGAAGATCCGCTATTTCCCACATAGGTAAAATGTGTGAAGCCCATTTCTGTGTCCTCCGCCGTGATGTTGCTGGGATATTGCTAAAAGTTGGGTAAAACTAAACTCTCTCACTATAGTCCGTTTACGACACAATTGGAACCGAACCAAATTCCTGGCAACTAATGATTGAAACTGCGCCCATGATGCCATTCATTAAACATAAAACAAAAACACATTTAACAATAAACCCTAACAGAATTATCATCATTTCGTTCCGAATGCTGTGTCTGTATGTTAGTTATTGCTGAATGATAACATATGCGCTCATAACCGCTCATAACCCTTTTTAGCATATATTGTACCTTGGACTCACTTAATATTTTGTCACTTATTGACCTATCATGTTCTACAGATTAGGTCCAAACACGTCCCTTGTGGACCCGAGGTAAATTGTCTTGGGGACTTGTGGTTATTTGACAGCACTCGCAGATCCACTAATTATTGATGTAACATAACACAAAATAATATTAACCCTACTGTACTGTGTGAACGAGGGAACCATTAGTGACACATCTGTTTGCCTTACTTTAGTTCTGAATTTGTACAGCTATGCTTCAAAGCACCTATGTTGTGGTATCGGTACAGACGCTGTAATTGTTTCACGACCGTTTCCCAACAGTAATCCAAACCGTCTACCGTTGTGCTTCAGGTTTACACTTTGTTGTGATTGATTTGTACATACATGGCTTGTGTAATCAAGTGGTGGACTGGCTCAAATCTTGGCATGTACGTATATGGACAAAGGTCATCGATATCATTTGAGTTAATGAATCCCATGATTTAGCAACATTTCATTTAGCCTTAGGGGCGGTGGGGTAGCCTATGGGTTTGGTCCGATCCTCACGCTGAAGACCTAGGTTCGTTTCCCCACATGGGTACAATGTGTGAAACCCATTTTTGGTGTTCCCCGCTGTGATATTGCTGGAATATTGCTAACAGCGGCGTAAACCAAACTCACTCACTCACTTTTAGCCTTACGTTCACATAATGTTACCGTTGCAAGTTCGATTCTATCACTGACGTGTACTACATGTGGAGTTACCTGCTGTTTGGTTAAGTTGTTTGGAAGGCTGGAGGCAGGCGGTGTGACCACGTCGGACCCTGAACTTGTCTTTACACACTCGTGTGGTAGTTGCTGGCTTCGTATCTATATAATCGTATCTGTAGTCGCCATCTAAATTTTGGGAATGGAGACAAATATGTTCAAATATTTACTTACGTATCATGTCATATTGCATACCTGTTTTCAGAAGGTCCAATAGCCTGTTGTTATAGCTAAAGCTGACCCGTGCATTGATCCCCAGTAACCCATGCTTGTTGTAAGAAGCGACTAACGGGTTCAGGTGGTCAGGCTCACTGACTTGGTTGACACATGTCATCGGTTCCCAATTACGCAGATCGATGTTCATGCTGTTGATCACTGGACTGTCTGGTCCAGACTCGATTATTTACAGACCGCCGCCATATAGCTAGAATATTGCTGAGTGCGGCGTAAAACTAAACTCACTCACTAAAGCTTAAGCTAAAGGAAGCATTAGTTGTGCGCTTGCGTATGCCGAATACTACTCAATTTTTAAAAGATATGACATGATACAATATGACACAGACAGACCAGGTGGTTTATGATATCGGTAGTACGATCTCAGTTGATGTATATGGATCAGGAGTCATTCGTCGGTAGAAGTACTTGGCAAATATTACCAAGCCGCCGTCAGATATTGTTTCGTTTCTTTGATAAACCAGATCATCTCTTAATCGTCATCAGCAACATCCCAAACACCATTGAGAACACGTATTCACCTCCAACCTCCCTTAAGAGAAACACTTTTCAAAGAGGTGTCCGATATCCAACTCACTCATTCAATACGCAAGTGCCTGTATCCCTGTTCATGGTACTGTAATGATATCTTATGTGTTAGGGTTGACTTACATGGACACTTGTGGCACATCTTGGGACAACGGTCAGGTACATCAGCAATTGTGAGACAGTTTTTCTCTATGTAAGCTGTGTGGTTACAATAGGAGGGTTCTTTAACAGTAGGATTTTCGCAGTCAACTGAAACATAGAGAGGTCAACATGATTTAGTGCTGGCTTTGTTATCATTTCAATTTTCACCATAATTGTGATTGTTTTTCACTTTCTTTGTCACATAACAGTAGATCACATTTTGTTAGCCAGGATTAGCTTTTTTTCCATTTTGTTTATTGATACATATTTTCTTACAATTTGTGATAATGCATCGGTTCAGTGAGGCAAAGTGAATCTTTATTTGCAGTGCCGATATCAAGTGCAATTTTTCAGGAATAGCTACACAGTTGCAGGTAGCAATGGTGTTGGATTTGGCAAACTAATTCGGACGAAGCCAAACATTCAACATTTTCAACCGACACATGCTGAACATGATTCATAATTTTAACTTTATAAAACAAAACTTTACAGAAAGTTGTCTATATAATTTGTACAATTATGCAAGAGTTCCTTCAGGGCCTTGTTGTCTGGCAGAACAATCGCAGTTTGTAATCAGTTGCGGCCCTTGGTTTTGCTAGGATATGCTGAAATTAGGTTTATGTCCTTTATTGCTCTCTCAACACATATCTGTATATGCTGGATTTTTGTCTCGAACGTTGTCATTTACATCGCAATACTCCAACCTATCTCCGATTGGTGTCATCATCATTAAGCAGTTTTTGTACTGTACAGTTAGCATATGGCTGTCATACCCCGTTGTGTCGAACTCGTCGGGTCCAAGGGAAAGGTTCAACTGTAGATCCGGGTTGTCGTATATGTAAGAAGCGACTAACAAAACTAATGAGTGGTCGGGCATATCATTGCTTCCTAATTGCAATGATATGTCGACCACTGGACTTTCTGGTCCAAACCGATCCAGATTATTTACAGATGGCCTCCGTATAGCTGGAACAATGCTGAGTGCGGCGTTTAACAACAACCAACCAAACAACGCATCGTGTTAGATATGAAGGAACTACTGCAAGACACTTACGTTTGCATACGTCACCAACATAGAAGTTTTCTATGATACATTTACAGGCGCAAGATGTTCTATTGATTGTGCCGCCATTTTCACAAGCTTTCCCTCCACAATCTGAAAGTAGAATATTGTAATTATCATCATTTCAATTATGCTAGCATGCAATTGTTGTACAATGAATATCCTGGACATTCAAAACCCTGAACCAAAAAATTCCAAACAAACAGTGCATCATGGTTGAATGAATATCGTGAAATGAAGTTGTACAATATAATATCATATGATACCATAAAATATGGTATGATATGATATCAGATCCTATCAAATCTTCAAATGTTTTTCATGGTGTAATAAATACTCTTAGCGATATTGAATAATCCACCACAATTACACATTTTCACATATTAATAATGATATTGGTGTTGAGGAATTGATATATAGCGTTTACGATTTGGCACTGCGGGCAAAGGAAGAATACATGACACTAGTCTTCAGTATGGCTTGGGGGGCGGTGGGGTAGCCTAGTGGTTAAAGCGTTGGCTCGTCACGCCGAAGACCCGGGTTCGATTCCCCACATGGGCACAATGTGTTAAGCCCATTTTCTGGTGTCCCCCGCCGTGATATTGCTGGAATATTGCTAAAAGCGGCGTAAAACTAAACTCAGTCAGTCAGTCAGTATGGATTCAGGGAACAAAACGTATTGTTAAATGGTTCTTTGGGTACACACAATCTTCCTCTTACAACCATAAACATATGTGAACTGAGGCAGAAATAAGCCTAAATTACATTTCGTGACATCTATTTGCTGATTATTTCTCGCGTTTCCTTTGTATAAAGATATAGTCATGTCTCACGGTAGGAAGATGATGTTTCCACATATGCCATTGACCCATTATGTACAATGAGATATTTCTATGGGTAAGTAACCCTTTGTATAACTTCTCTCACAAAACCAATACCATTAGCCACAAACAGTGAAAACTCAGACATGTTTAAAGCCAAACTCAAAGAGTATATCTGTTAATACACTTGCCCAGTTGTCGGTTTTCATGTAGGTGGATGTTATTATCACTGTCTCTATTGTTATTACCTCTGTTATATTCCGCCAAGCAGCTGATGTTTTCAACTGCCACGCTATTGCATAATGTCATTGTAGTTACGTCGGTGTTGACATAACGATTTGCAGACCGATTTTGAAATACATTTGTTAATTATATAACATTTCTTTGTGTGTCTTCTTTTCGGTTTTTCACAGCATTACTTTGCGTATAAATATGTTGGTTACCTCAGTGCTTCAATGTGGAATTAACACAAAACGTTAATGAGGTGAGGTGAGGTGAAATTGGGTTTAACGTCGTGCTTGAGAATATTTCGCTCATATGACGACGTGCATGCGTGTGTAGGTGTATGTGCGGCTGCTTGTATTAGCCCAGACTTAAGCTGGTTTTATAGTGCTAGCCCACTGAGATACCAGGCCGCAGTGAAGCATGAATACCCCACTCAGACACATTATACTGACCCCGAGCAGACCAGTCCTTCTTGTACCCATTAATGCCGAGCGCCAGGCAGGGACTTACAAGTACCATATTTTAACGTCTTTTGGTATGACGCGGTCGGGGATCGAGCCCGCAACCTTCGACTCTCCGAGCGGACGCTCTAACCACTACACCGCGGAGGCGGTACGTTAATGAGAGACGCTGGAGCGAGTTATAATGAACATAACGGCTGTCTACAACTATCATGCGGAGGACATAATGTTCGCAACAGAAACAGGTCCATGACAACGGTTTTCGATTTTTCCCGTCACAGAATAAGACGTTATTAAGAAACTGTTACCAAACTCAGTTGAACCTCACACTAATGATACAACCTTGTTAATGTGCAAAGTTAAAAAATAAAAGTTCCAGAAAACTAAATATGCAATGCCAATGCACGAAAAGACCAATCCTGAACACAAATCTCCCGTGAAGATCCGGGTTTGAATTCATCTTCAATAACCCATGCTTGTCGTAAGAGGCAACTATCGTGATCGGGCAGTCAGGTTCGCTGACTTGGTTGATACGTCATCGTATCCCAATTGCTTAGATCGATGCTCATGCTGTTGATCACTGGATTGTCTGGTCCAGACTTGATTATTTACAGACCGAGACCATATAGCTGGAATCTTGTGAAGTGTTAAGCATCAACCAATCAACCAATCAATCAATCAGTCAATGATCACAAGTCAAAAGTGGGAGTGGACCACTAAAGATAACTTTTTTGAGATTCCTTGTCCAAAGCAATGCCTACCACAGAGGTTGTTCTCTTTTTGCTTGCATTCCGCTGCAGGTGTTCCTTTCTTGTATGGTGTCTTGTATCCACCTCTGTTCCCCCTGAAACGAATTAGAATAAAACACTGTGTGGTTTATCTTTCATATACATGTGTACTTTCACATGAAAATTACTTTACTATCGGACATTTGTTGGAGGTAGAATGTCTTTTTAGCTTCTTTGCATAATGATGGCTTTCTGTTGTTGGCGATCTCTAGCCTGTTTTTTTATATTGTTTGTCCCAGTAGTGCTATTAGTTTTAAAATTTCCACGCTAGTTTTAATTCTAATTGTGATATTCTAGTTGTTTTACTGTCCTTCGTCGGCAGGTTTTTTATAATATACATATATTTCCTTTCAATATTAAATGTTCTCGTCACGATATGGCTGAAATATTCCCGATGTGACGTTAAATTTTAACTCACTCACTCATAATGATGGCGTTCATCGTCAGTGTAACAGTCCTGTGGACACTTTGCATTGTATCAAGTGAAGTAACTTAGGTTATTCGAATATATATGATTCGGCGAAATGTGAGAATGTAAGTATGAAATTTATTGACTGCTCCGATTAGATCGATGAAAATACATGTTTAAATAGTTTACAAAAGCCTACTAGAATGTGGTTTATGAGGCCTCAGAGATCAGAAGCATTCTGACAACATGGAACAGGTATTGTCTCTCCGTGACATGATCTTTAGGACCCCTAGTGCAATGCACTGGCAACATACACTGGCCCAAAAAAGAAACGCATAGCTGAATTCTGATCTTCAAAGTAGATTGTTTTGAAAAATATGGTATGGAATGACTGTCAATTTTAATTTTAAGTATGAATATAGCCCATACAATTATCCAACACACGCAAAAACAACCTTTGGTGATTATTCGCAAAAACACAGCACCTTGAAAAAAATCCCCGTATAATCTGCATGTAGAAAAAGCTGAAAGCATGATGCACGTGCAAATGCGGGATCTGAATCTTGATACTGATGGGTATAAAAAGCCAGCAGTCCTGTTGCTATTCATTCTCCGAAATTCTGTATACGCGACCCTCAAGATGCCAAGACTAAACGAAGAAAGCAGAAACAGAGCCATTGGACACTTGGAAGCTTGAGAAAGCCAGTCATCAGTTGCCAGACATCTAAACGTGAGGCAGAGTACGATTCCCCGTCTCTGGCAGCGCTACACGCAGCACAACTCGACCAGAGATCGTCCTAGGAGTGGGAGACCAAGGGTGACAACTCCAGCGCAAGACCGCTTCATCCGGGTGTTTCATCTGCGAAATCGGACCGTCACTGCAGCGTACACCGCCGACAATGTTCCTGGGCTGCGTCGAGTCTCTGCACAAACCATCAGGAATCGCCTAAGAGAGCATGGAATCCGACCGATGCGACCACATACAGGACCTGTTCTGCGACACCACCATCGTCGTGCACGTCTTCAATGGAGCAGGAACGTTCGGCCATGGACCCTCTTGAACTGGAGGAGGATCTGGTTCATCGCGCTATCGTGATGAAATCCTGGTACGTCATGTTATTCCCGTAATTGACACTAGAAGAGACATTTTCCAGCATGACAACGCAAGACCGCATACAGCACGCATTACAACAGATTTCCTTGCCATCAACAACATTACAGTACTTCCATGGCCTTCAATATCTCCGGATCTTAATCCAATTGAACATTTGTTGGACCAATTGGATCAACGTGTACGACGCCGACAGCCGCAACCACATACACGTCAACAGCTTGTCGATGCGTTGCAGGATGAGTGGAGAAGAATCCCACAACGGCGGATCCCACGTCTTATACAATCTATGCCCAGGCGATGCAGAGCAGTGATTGAGGCTCGTGGTGGTCACACCAGATACTGACTTTGTGACCGTGCCATCAAAAGTAGAGACTCTCAATACCACTGTGAATGACTGTATGCTTTTGGATACACATGTCCAAATACCTGTGTGAATTTTTATTGCTCTATTATCATTACTTTTTGTGTAATTTAAGTTATTAAAGCATCACTGATAACACTGAATTTTCACCTATGCGTTTCTTTTTTGAGCCAGTGTAGTCTTAACGACTAATGTTCCGTTATGACATACTTACGCAGGGGCATAGTTGCAGACATAAAACAGACTAGTGTTGCACTTGGCGAATCCACATCCTACTCTGGTGGTGTCGGCCCATACGAGCTGTAAATAGACATAGTCAGAAACGGTTGTATCGAACATTGATGTGCCGAACTAACGGTTTACTCGAAGTGGATTCCTTCTTAGATCGTCAGTTTCGGGTTATGTCACCACACGGATAACTCGAAGTACGTAGACACAACGATGTATGGCTGTGTAGCGGAAAGATTATGTGGATATTTTACTGCTGTATTTTAGCAGACTTCATCCGTTTCCGAATACGTTTGCCTGTTATGCGTCCTCCGATTCTTCGTACGTATACATAGCTGCTCCAGAAAGTCCGAATCCGACTTGTTATGCAGCAGAAACACTATGTTGAATTGGAAGAGGCTATATACCGAATCCATCGTTAAAAAAGGAATACATCGATTATCCCGTCTGTACTTTGGCGTGTAATGAAAATTTGTCAATGACGAACGAAAATCAAATAGCGAAAGAATGGATGGAAAGCTAGATTTATTACCACTTATCCCAGATAGGGAAATATTACTGTGTCATTCTTTCACTAACACACAAACTCACATACAAACACTAACATACACTCGCAAACGCACAAGAATATCCCACATGCACTCACGCCCACACACATGCTCTCACACACTTGAGCCCTTTCACGCACGTCGCTTTCTGTGGCAAATACATGCAGATATAATGTTTTTCCTTTTACCTTGCTGTGTGGGGCGGTGGGGTAGACTAGTTGTTAAAGCTTTCCCTTGTCGAGATGAAGGCCCGGGTGCGATTTCCAACGTGGGTACAATGTATTAAGCTAATTTCCGGTATCCCCCGCCGTGATATTGCTATAGTATTGCTAAAAGCGGCGTAAACCCCAACTCACCCTCACCCACATTGCTGTGTGTTATTATGTACATGACGTTGTCCTACCTGTGTGTAGTGCCCCACTTTGTCCGGCACGTTAGCTCCGTTGTACGTAAAGGCCTGGACCTCCGAGTGCCATCCTGCTATAGACTGCGTCCAGTTATGGTAGTCCAGTGCCCAATTCTGGCCAATCTGGTACACTCCTGTAATCGTCAGATACATGCATGTTGTGCGTTAATAAGTAATCAAGTATTTTAACGCCGCTTCGAACGGTATATCGTTATACTGACTTGACAGAGAAACATCACGGCGGGGGACACCAGAAATGGGCTTCACACATTGTGTCCATGTGGGGATTCAAACCCGGGTCTTCAGCGTGACGAGCCAACGCTTTAACCATTAGGCTACCCCACCGCCCGTATATTGTTATACGGTTAAAGTGCATTCCTAAAACCATAGAATGGCGTTTAGCCGTAGACTATGGAAAGAGAGACAGAACACATTCGTCGTGAAATACATAACATATATATCTTACATGGAAGCAATAATAAATCAATTAAAAGAGGTGAGTCACCGAACGGTGCTGCACGATATTCATCCAATCACGACACACGATATTCACCCAATGACAACACACAATATTCATCCATTCACGACATACATGAGTGCAAGGTCGGATACAGGATTACCGAATTAAAACGATGAGTTGAAGCATGTGACCAAAAATCAGGCTAGGTTCGAATCATTTAAAAAGACATGTTTGGCACTATGAGCTCAGTGTGCGGGTTGTTCGAGCTCAACATTTAGGAAGCCAGTCCTGGTCACTCAGTTGCCCCGTGTGGTACGAGCCTACCGTGCTTGTTGATGAAGTTGTAATTACAGATGGACGGAGACAGAGTAAAAACTATGTGAGTATAACTTGTTGTTGCGTTTATCTATGAATGTATGTGTGCCAGTACATGAATGCAATCTGGTTAGTTAGGAGTCAGGTCGTCCGACCCCTCACTCCTGGACTTAGCATCCTACAACGGACCAAGCGAGTGGAGCGCCAGAGCTACTAGGAAGTAACTGTGGTAGGGTTTACTAACGCCAAAACGCCAGTTACTAGAATATGACGTTTAGCTTACTACAGCGTGAAGGAAAACTCATGTGATGTGTTGCCATGAGTTACTATTTTTGGTGAAAGTATTGTGCTGATAGATCACAGATCATAGTTGGGGATCAGCAAGAAGACAACATCAGATTATATTATATATTCTCAAAGAATGCAGACAGTTTTACTGAATACTTTGGAGAGTGATTTTCAGTTGAGGGCCGCAGTGAACAATATGCCAGTGGAGAAATATGGTCAAATAACGTAATCAACTTTCAGGAACAATCGAGCACAAGAATGGTGCCGCAGAAACAAGAGTAAGCTTAAGTGAGTGAGCTGGGTATAACACAACTTTTAACAACACATCACGATCTCATCACAACATGTCAGTCTGGAGTGTGTCTATTGTTTAACGCCGCACTCAGCAATATTTCATCTGCGTGACGGCGGTCTGTAAATAATGGAATCTGCGCCAGTCAATCCAGCGATTGACATCATGAGCATCGGTTTATACTATGGGATACAATGACATGCATCAACCCAGTCAGCGAGCCTGACCACCCGATCCCGTTAGTCGCCTCTTACGACAAGCATGGGTTGCTGAATATCAGTTCTAACCCGGATCTTCACGGGTGGCATGTCAGCTGAATGTGGCAGGAATGACCACAGTGACGCAGGCTTCAGACTTTGATCACTTTGGTGAAACTAACGAGCATGAATGTAGTGCTGGCAAACCAAAAAACATCATGGCGTACCAGGATTCGAATCAAAGAAGACAGAAAACGTAACCACGAAACAGAGACTCTTGCACTGCGAAGGTACGTTGGTACACTCCTGTTGGTCACATTACATTGACAAAAATTGCCTTACGGTAGATTTAGATTTTTTTTCCAAAACGTTTTATAGATATGTTGTTTTGTTTTTTTGGTTTTTGGTTTGTTTGGGGGTTGGTTTTTTTTGGGGGGAGGGGGGCTCAATTCTTCATTACTAGAGCACGGTATGAACACAATGGCATACATGATTTGATGTGTTTTAGAAGTGATATTAATTCATTCACACGCTCATATCCCTTCAAACAGACATATTTATTTTTTAAAATACAAACAAGCCGGTTACTTTCCATCACATTATTCTGTACACTGACATGTTGAAATGTTAATATATTTATTTTATTCGACTTATGTATTTCAGCATTAAATGTTACGTTATATTTCCCTGTAAAGTGTTTTGACGTACCGGGGATGTTTCTGTGGTTCATGGCGTCGTGCTCCACCTTGCAGTTGCTGGCCCAAGCCTGAGCAATAAGCGCCAGCTCCTCGTTCCAGTACTGAAACATAGCACCACGATTCCATTTGCAAGAACAATGCAGAAACTACCATTTGGGCCATCAAAATAAAGGTGTCGCTGTTTCTTGCATGTCCCTAAATGTGTTGCCTATGAGAAATGAAATATGTTCCCTTATTTTCGTTACTCAGTATATACTGCATACGCTCCATGTAGTCATCCTAAATTAAAACATACCGTACCCAAGTGTACAATTCGTTTGCACCAGGAATGGACCATTTTAGGCCCACAGATTTACTGTTACTGTTACGTTCGGGCGTGAGGTTAGGTTAGTTTTCCCCATTACCTATATTCTTGCACTTTTCGTAGTTCCGTGTGTTCCAGTTTCATAACAGTATCCATTTCATGGAACAATGTGAATTTCAGCTGTTAATAACATACACAGACCAAAAGATTAGATATTTTCATGTTCCTACTCTACAAGTCCCGTTGAGTATAATGATAGGAATTCATAAACAAATGCTTATAATAAAATCTGAATTGTTCTTTCGACGTTGCTTTTAACAGATTTTTCTTATGAATGAGGAAAAAGTTTTTGATCTAGTATTTCTATACGCCTTCATGGTTATACTGCGACAGTGATGATGCTCATTTGTGAATCTGGTGAGGTGAGCTGAAATTGGGTTTAACGTCGTGCTTGAGAATATTTCGCTCATATGACGACGTGCATGCGTGTGTATGTGGATGTGCGCCTGCTTGTACTAGCCCAGACTGAAGTTGGTTTTATAGTGCTAGCTCACTGAGATACCATGCCGCAGTGAAGCATGAATACCCCACTCAGACACATTATACCGACTCCGAGCCGACCAGTCCTTGTTGTACCCATTAATGCAGAGCGCCAGGCAGGGACCAACAAGTACCATATTGTAACGTCATCTGGTATGACGCGGTCGGGGATCGAACCCGCGACCTTCCGCTCTCCGGGCGGACGCTCTAACCACTACACCACGAAGGCGGTCTTTTGAATCTGGTATTTAAGACGACCTAAACAACTTTCCAATTACATGCACTACGTATGGCTGCTTAATAGTTACTTCAAACACGTTTTTTAGGTATATTTGTGTATATTGAGGTTTACAGACCACTTTGAGCATATTGGTAGCTGGCGGTTGCACTTTGCTTCTGTATCGGTTGTGTTCGTCGATAATAACTTTCTTTTCATCTTCTCCCACACCTGAAATCAATTCAGTGATAACAAGAAATAAAATAAACCCGTATTGCTTGCTTCAATGTTATTCATTTAACACGAGCAAATAATACTCGTCATTAGGTTGGTGTGTTGTTTAACGCCGCGTCCAGCAGTATCCCAGCTATATGGCGGCGGTCTGTAAATAATCGAGTCTGGACCACACTGTCCAGTGACCAACGGCATGAGCATCAATCAACACAACAGGGATACGAGGACTTGTGTCAACCAAGTCAGCGAGCCTGACCGGCCGATCCCGTTAGTCGCCTCTTAGGCCAAACAAGGGTTGCTGGAGACCAATTCTAACAAGGAACTTCATGGTTTCGTCATTAGATATATGATAATAATGAAAATGTGGGTTTTTTCAGTTGGATTTGGAACAGCTAGATCTACGTACATTTGTTGTGTTGAGTGAGTCTTGCAGTTCACTGTGTACATATTTTTATACAATATACAAAAACGGCAATTTTATACAACAACTGCAATTTGTCCAAAGGAACGTCCATAACAACAGCGTTCAAACATGCAGGTCAGATTGTACTGCCGTACCAAAAGGAACCATAGGGGAAGGTTATGGTTATAAGCCAGCTTATATGAACAGCTTATAAGAACAAACAAAGCGACCATTAACATATAATAATTAATACAATGTGTCTGAATACTCGTATAAGACAACAGCCAGCAACGTCGACATACCCGACTGTTTGACAAGAGGCGATGGCTTGAGACAGGCCGTGTGATTGGGCACATGTTGCAGTCTTTCAGTACATGCTGTTAGCTGAAACGATTAGCAAAGTGAATTTAATACAAGACCGACTTATCAAGTTTTGTCTAACAGTCAATGGTCTTTTGGCGTAGGTGGTTGTTTTGTAGAGTTGGGTACTTTACCTGTTCTAAGGCCCTTTAACCGAGTTCGAGTCAGCTATTCACCTCGAATTGGACCGTTGGTCTCCCAGTACAAAAATCATGTTTTGGGTTGCAGGAGTGTCCAAAACATCATTGACCTTTGTCACTTTGAGTTTCATCCCAACTAACTAAATTCATACAACTACATATGTATTGTTTAGCGATGTGGGTGTATGGCTAAGCCTCTTCGTATTCATGGAAGATCAACTCGAAGTCTCAATTGTTTAATCCAGAACTCCACTGTTGCAACACGGTTCAAGCACATAGATGAAAGTCAGTTGCGACTTGATGAAACATTCATGAGAAATAGATGTAACTGCGTTGAAACTCAAGCATAACATTCGCGAGTCCTACATTAAAGTGTTTTGAAACTTCAGGTAAAACCTTCCTGGCGAATACAGACTTTAACCTGCCTTTTTCTGCAAAACAAACCTTCAGAATTATCACTTCATGACACAGACGGCGCGGCTTTCTTTCAAACGTCAACTTCCGCTCATGACATTCCCAATTAGAGTTATTCCCTTTGATACAAAAATTACTGTGAGCAGCGAGTCGCACTCAACTTGATAAAACTTAATGTCTCTGAAAAACTGATTCCAATGCACTGACTGACTGACTGAGTTGAGTTTTTCGCCGCCTTTAGCAATATTCAAGCAATATCACGGCGGGGGGACACCAGAAATGGGCTTAACACATTGTACCCATGTGAGGAATCGAACCCGGGTCTTCGGCGTGACGAGCCAACGCTTTAACCACTAGGCTACCCCACCGCCCGATTCCAATACAACATATCTGTCAAGAATACTTACAGCTGGTGTACTGTCAGGATCTGCAAAAGAAGGAAGTACATTAGAACATTAGTCTGTGTGTGTTCCATTTCATAAGGTCAAACCATCAATGGGTAAAAGTGAACAGCACATATACAGTCGAACCCCATTGTCTCGAACTCGGTTGAGACGAATTCTCGGTTGTGTCGAACTCATCCCTCGGTTCCTGTCGATTTCCTTATATTTATTTATCATAATTCTATCCTGATGTCTCGAACTAGATATGTCGAGCTCCCGGTTGTGTCGAACTCATTTTAGGGTCTACAAAAGCCCTCATAAATACAAATGTACCCTGTAAAAGAAAACAAATCAAAATCATGCTCTTAAACCAAAGGATCAAGGTGAGGATTAACGGATTCAGCAATCAATGATCAGTACTGCAGTAAACGTTTGTTGCATTGATGTATTGTTCGTTTGTATAGCCTACTGTAAGAAAACGATGTTGTAAGCACTTTGGTCATGTTGGTACTTGTCTGTCACCTGTAAGAATTTATCAAGGCTTCGTTCATGTGTGCTGCTGCTTCTCGACAATGCATCTGCGCACGGGTCACAAGTGGATGAAAGCGTTGTATGATACATTTCTTGTAACAAATAACATCCTATACATTTTACCGTTTCCCTAAAATCAAAGTAACCATACGGCGTTGGGTATTTTGGCGATGTCCGGACTAGATGTTAAAATGGTATCTCAGTTTGTTGATACAAAACAACAAGCATCAGTACCACATAGGACTAATGGACATAGAACATAGGACATCTGTCAATACAGATGTTCCATAACCTTGAAAGCGACGTTCAGCTCGGCTTCACCCGTGAAGATCCTGGTTAGACCTAATCATCAGCAACCCATGCTTGTTGTAAAAGACGACTAACTGGATTGGGTGAACAGGCTCGCTGACACATGTCAACGTAACCCAATTTGCGTAGAACGTTGTTCATGACACTGATCACTGGATTGTCTGGATCAGACTCGATTATTTACAGAACACCGGCATATAGTTAGAGTATTGCAGAGTGCGGCGGTAAATTTCTTTGAGTGGCCTTTTAGAAGTAGGAACAACAATACAGATACAATTTAACTTTGGTGCAGCGTTAAACAACAAACACATCAGCCCGGATCCCCTCCCAACTCTCACTCTAGTGGCGCAGCATGCAAGATAAAATGAAGCCAAACGCTGTCAGACGAACTTGATAACCTAAAACTATGATGTCATCTGACATAAACAGTGAAAACCACTTAACTGATAGAACAGATAAAAAATCAACTATCAGCCACCATCGATACCAAACATCCGTGTGTGAGATGATATCACCGTGCCTACCGTGCGCCTAGATAATAACTCATGCGACATTTCGTGTCCGACTAAACAGACCACGCCTAAATTTATTTTCGTTCATGATACTTATGTAAACTGACGTAATTGCATTCCAATATCTGGCGATAACGTCAAGATAGCTTCACACGTATCGCTGAAACAGGTCAGTCGATTGGTTTAGGGTTAACGGATGTACGAGAGCTACTGTCTACAATGTCAAGGAGAAGCTTCCCACTCGTTCTCTACCTTGGTGGTGGTGGGGTAGCCTAGTGATTAGAGCGTTCGCTCGTCACGTCGTAGATCTGGTTTTGATTACCCACATGGGTACAATGTGTGAAGTCCATTTCTGGTGTCCACCGCCGTGATATTGCTGGAATATTGCGAAAATCGGCGTAAAATTAAACTCACTCACTCTCTACCTTGTGTATACAGATCATACAGGGCCGTTTAACTACACTAACTTAATAAATTATTTATATCAAGTATTTTCATGTTTCTCTGCACACATTTCAAATAAATTAGAGGCAAACGTGACAAATCAAATCTGTTTTTCTTTTGATTTTATGATCTAAATCTCTGATACGCTCACAGCTTCACCACCATGGGTGTTTGGTCGAACGCTTAGATATGTTGGGTTATTTTATAAACACATTGTCAGTTGGATTAATCTCTGAAGGAGATGCTAACAAAACTACATTCTACATTGTTTTATATATACTAATGTCCAAAAGAAACGATACCAAATATTTTTTTTCAATATATTTGTTAACTAAGTATTCCTTTCTGTAGGAAAGCGTACTCGGGCGTTTCCCATGTTCCAAACCAAACGTATTCGAATCGTATCCGAAACATTTGATCAATTGAGAAAAAAACGCGCACTTTGCCAAAATGATGTTACGTCCCGTAGCACGGATTGCACGTGCAGTTCAACTGTATAAAACAGACACGACACGTTGGGATCACAGCAACAAAAAGCACACAAAAGAAATGCCACGCCTGACAGCGATTGAGAGAGAGAGAGCCGATGGAATGGTCCAACAGGGAGTATATCAAACCGACGTCGCATAACCGTCATCAGGTTAATGGAGCGGTTGCGTCAAATAGGTTGGACAAGAGACAGGCCGAGAAGCAGGAGACCACGGGTGACCACGCCTACTGAAGACCGTCATATCCAGGTACTTCATCTCCGGAACTGCTTCATCACAGCGACGTTAACGACAAGGACGACACTGGGACACGTGATCAGTCGAGTTTGCATACACATGCTATTCGAGCACGTCGCCCCTACCGCGGAGCGTTCCTGACACCTCAACAGCGAGCCAACATACTGTAGTGGGCCAGGCGACGTCGACATTGGCAACGGCGAGACTAGACACGGGTCATGTTTTCCGACGAGAGAAGATTTTCACATATTCAGGAACGATGGTCTGCAGTGTGTGTACCGAAGAGTTGGTGAACGTTTGACACAGAATTGCATTCATCAAGTCCGGCCATTCGGGGGCGGAGGTTTAATGGTTTGGGGTGAAATCTGCGGTGACCCCAAAACGAGGCTCGTCGTTATTCAAGGAAACCTGAATACGCATGAGCGTTATCGAAACGAAATTTTACAACCAGATGTGGGGCCATTCATCCAACAACAGCATCGCGGAATCATTTTCCAGCAGAATAAAGCGCGTTACTGAACAACTTTCAAATGAAATCTACCAATCTACCATTTCTGTATCGTTTTGTTTGTCTTTAAACGCTTGGTATCGTTTCTTGTGTACATTAATTTATTTCCATATAGCATCGTGAATTGGTACGGTCATTAATTACTTACTGTCGTTTACATTTCTGTTTAATGTCTCTGTAAACGGTTTGCTAAAACATTACCCTCTCTGGCACAGTATAAGAGTGCTGACATCTACTGGTAGAGCTGAAATGCTAACCTTTTTCTCAAAAACATGGTCATCTCTATTTTTAGTTTTCAGTTCAAAGATTGTCATCTCTATTTTGCCTTTTACGTAAACGATATTCGGGGGAAAATATATAATCGAAACTGGTTATACCCTGACGTTGACGTTTATGTTAATGCCATTACATGCCCCGGTCTTTTTCTGTGCATTTAAGGTGAGGTGAGGTGAAATTGGGTTTAACGTCGTGCTTGAGAATATTTCGCTCATATGACGACGTGCATGCGTGTGTATGTGTATGTGCGGTTGCTTGTACTAGCCCAGACTTAAGCTGGTTTTATAGTGCCAGCCCACTGAGATACCATGCCGCAGTGAAGCATGAATACCCCACTCAGACACATTATACCGACTCCGAGCCGACCAGTCCTTGTTGTACCCATTAATGCCGAGCGCCAGGCACGGACCAACAAGTACCATATTTTAACGTCTTTTGGGTGCATTTAAGGGGTGGTTGGGTAGGATAATGGTGAAAGCGTTCGCTAGGCACGCCGAAGACCCGGGTTCGATTCCCCACATGGGTACAATGTGTGAGACCCATTTCTTGTGTGCCCCGCCGTGATGTTGCTGGAATATTGCTAAAAGCGACGTAAAACCATATTTATTCAATCACTCACTCAGTGCATTTAAACATTGAGCAACGATGTATATTCAAAAATAATAAATCATTATTATCATTCATATCAGGATTATGATTGATTGCCAAATTTAAGAATATAAATGAAATATATATTGGACATGAATACATGACACGTTTTCTAGACAACAACATTTTTGTTTTTTTACTATTATCCATAAAACGTGTCATGTAGTCATGTTCGTCCAATTTCTAAATGCCTTTCAAGAACTTTAAACATTGGTCATTATAAATTCATCAAATGCAGATTAATATCCCGTTCAAATCAGAAATCTGACATGCACTGAAAAGCCAAGTAATATCGAGCTTATCAGTTAGTGTGTAGACTGAAGGGTTTTCCTTGAGGATTTAATATAAAACGGCCAGTTCACGTATGAATCGCTATCTTAATCCACATGGGCCTCGCCCATTATTGAATCAGAGATAAGAAATGGGATTGACATGTTGAAGAAAACACTGCCTATTGATCGTGCGTGTGGTGATTTCTTTCGTTTCGGAAAGGCGTATATCCACTTCTGTGATATCCTGTCCTCTTATGGTGTCGCCTCTTTGACGTAAAGGCAGACGCATAATGTCAGCTTCAAATGAAATAGCGGGTCAAATTGTAAAATTTCGCTTTTTTTGTTTCAAATTTGGACCCGAGCGTTTTATCTCAAGTTACGCTGTTGCTAGTACATTGTATCTCACATTCTATACAGTGCCGAAACATGTATACACATTAGACACACAAAACTGTGTGTATCTACAAACATGGACATTTTATAATTGTCATAACGCCACTGCAAATGCGATATACAAGTTTTACACGTGCATATCTGACTTGATTATAGCATTTTACATAATTATATACACATAAAGTAGTATCATGGTTATGAAGTACAAGAACAATTGCATTTAAATAGCAACAGTTACTGTAAGGGCGTCATATTTTAATTTTTTTATGTGTTTCACGTAGCCACCAAATTCTTAACATGGGTCGGTCGGTCGGGGGAAAAAAACTAAAAACTAAAAAACTTAATAAAGACTAAATTTTCTGAATAGTGCTCTTGATTCTCATTTGTTGTACTACTTATTGCAACTTCTCGCGTTCTCTGGACTTCAAACTAGTGGCAGCGACTGAGAGGAAGGTAAACACTTTTTTTAATGATAAACTCACTCTAAATATCTTAGATAACACCTATTAATCTATTGATAAAATATTAAACAATGAAACCTTTCTAGATCAATCGATATCAAGAGAGAAAGAATGAGAGATAGAGAGAGAGCGAGAGAGAAAGAGAGAGAGGGGGAGAGAGAGAGAGTGAGACGCTTCTAAAGGTATATTTGTGTCAAGGGTGCCATGCATATTCTTCTTTACAATTGCAACTGATTATTTCTTTTTTCATGGCAAGAAATACATGCTTTGCTAGACAGTTAATAACATCTGGGTTTTTGGATGATAGTAGCTGATAAAATGTTGGATATGTTGGATTATAATATTCAGGTAACAATTTTCTCAAATCTGACAAAAAGGACATATTAAGCTGACATGGTACTCTGTTTCAATACAGGGAACAATGCATAGATGACAAAATCGTTGATCTTTAGCAACATGAAGTTTTCTATATTCTTCCATCATTAATCTGTGATTTGAACACCTAACTCTTATAAGGGCTATTCTTTATGAAGTAACATTTCACAACTGACAAATATTCTTCACAACATTATTCCTTCTTTAGAGACTGATATACAATACGTTTTGGAAACGAACATATTAACTCAAACTATGTCTGTTGATCTGTTGATATATACCTTTGTTTAAAATCAAATAAGAACTTATTTATACAACTTACATTCAGATTGTGCCACACATAACTAAAACCATTTTATTTTACAATTGTTTTACATTATGGGCTCAACATTGTCTACCAACTTCTGCTAATTTATATTGAGACCGGTATGTGTGGTATAATATTCCATTATCATTTTGGTATAATAACCGTGTCCAATATTTTACAATTGTTATATATTGTCTAGTTTTGAAAGATAAACATCCATGAAGTTCGGTGCATTTCTACCAAGAAAAAGAATTTGCTTTAAGAAATTATTGTACACTCTGTCTGCATCCAGTGAGGGATGACATTCTCATATTTCGGAGCCGCAAGCTAAAGTTAGGAATGCTTTGTGGTCAAAGATGTTGAGAAAAATGTTAATTTTCTGAAATTTGATAGCCAGGAACGTAAAATATTTAACACTTTCTGGATATGACAAAAAATTTGTGTTAGATGCCATGAACCGACACTGTCAGTCAGGCACATAATCCCCAGCACATAAGGCCATCTATCTAACCAACTCGGCAACCGCGCCTTCCACAATACCAAATCTAACGTGTTACATTTCATTACTTTCTAACTGCCGTTGTGTATTTATGTTACATGACTCTAAAGCACTGACTGACTGACTGAGTTGGTTTTTTACGCCGCTTTTTGCAATATTCCAGCAACATCACGGCAGGGGACACCAAAATGGGCTTCATACATTGTACCCATGTGGGGATTCGAACCCAGGTCTTGGGCGTGACGAGTCAACGCTTTAACCACAAGGCTACCCCACCGCCCCTGAGTCTAGGCAGACAAACATATACACACCATATATGTTATATCATTGTGGTCTTAACCATCACCAGCACGGTCCGAGATAGTGGCAATTAAAGTTCATCAGACCGATATGAGGCTTCCACTATTGTTCTTGAAGACCATTATGCATAATACATTATATTGACAGACAGACAGACAGACATTTTATTCAGTAGGCCACTGGCCCAAAATACATTCATAAATATAATAAGAAGTTACATGCGTTTTACCAGGGAGACTATATAATGTTGTAGATTATCCCTGGTTTTACATAAAAACATCAGAATTTTCCCAACATTATATAAAAATAGGCACAAATTATTTATTTATGTTTTTGAAGTCATTATGTTTATAAAGCTGTGTTGTGAAATAGGATGTTTCAAATATTTACCCAGAAGTGCATACAAACACACAAAATATCAATGCTACAAAGCTTACGTCGCTCTCCAAAGACAAGATAACACAGATTTGTCTATACATAACAACAATGATAATAATTGATAACAGTAAATAAAACAATGATTTAGTAAATACTTACCACTTGCTTTACATCCCTGCCCGGCAACTAACAACCACAACAACACGAGCCTAAGCATCATTTTGAACGGATGTCAGCAATCAAATCAAACTCATTTGTACTTCCTCTGCGTTTTTTGCAACGTGGACTGATACGGGCATGCGCAGTGTTTATGGAGTTGACAAATTTCAGATAACAGACCTCACCGCCTTCACAGTCAGACCCCCTATCTCGCTACTCATACGTACACACACGTCCTTTCTTATCAGTCGCGGTGAAAACAAACAGCGGAAGGCAAGTTTAAATATACTGACTAGCAGCTACATTAAACGTCAATCGATCTAACCTCTTACCTCAAATGGCTTGAAACAGTTAAATGTAAACATGAAATATAACAAGGTAATTGTTAACTGCCATACACATCAAAGGGATAGGCAGTGTTTTCTGTATTTAAAACAATAAACACACAATGCAATCCTTCGTGGTGATCTTAACAATTATCAATTAATCGTGTACTCACGTTAAATAATGCGTATCTTACACGAAAAAAATATCTTTTCTTTGAAGGTTGTATTTTTAAAAAATAATTACAATACACTGGGTGGCTGGTTGAGCGAAAATTAAGAAGACTAAAAATATTTCCGTTGCAATCAGCGTGAGTCATTTTCTCATGAAAGGCTTATGCGTTCCAGTGTATTTGAGGTTTGGGAGATTGCATATTTGGGTTGTGGGGAAGATATCCTGCAGCAAATTAACAAAGGAGCAGAATAGCACAAATAACACAAAACCGGAACTGGGTGTTCCTCTGTGGATAATTGCTAGTTTTAAAACATAGATATTTTCGGCCCGGGAATTGTATCTAGTGAATTACGTGTTTTAAGTCATTTGAGTTTATATACTACATATTCTAGTATAGGTTTCCTTTAACCGACAGAGCGACAGGGTAGCCTGGTGGTAAAGGCGAAGACCCGGGTTTAAGTCCCTACATAGATGCAATGGGTGAAGCCGATTCCTGCAGCGATGTTACTGGAATATTACTATACACCTTACTCGCTTACTCCTTCAAACCACTGAGTGAGCGCTGTGTGTGCTTCGAGGCCGACTAATGCAAGTGAGCGAGTTATTCGTAAAAGTATAACTGATTCAGAATCGATAACACCAAAACTGTGCTATTATGATATATTCATGGATAGTGACATTCTCACAACGTGTAGTTCCTTAATGGCTTGACAACCAATGGTATATTCATGCAGTGGATATATCTGCAAACGCAGAGAGTCTCAAATCGAGGAGGAAATGAAGCGAAGCCGAATCGCTTCAGAAGCTTATATCTGATTAACCAAGAAACCATGCGTAATTCATATAGACTGGATGGCCAAAGGTCGCTGTGAGACCACCTGCTGGAAGCTGCTATAGCTACACCCTCTGTTCTTCATTCTTATCGGTGTTGCATCCGGATAAATGATCTGTTCAAAGCGAGTGTCTTGAATTTATCTTTCTTTAGTAAAATATATCATTCCGTATTTAACAGGTTATTAAAACTATTCAAGGACACTGTCAAATGCAATGGATGCTATGTATATTTATCACAACACACACATGCACATGCACTTACACATACATGCGCACGCACACGCACGTGTACAGACATACATACTTGCATACACATATACACACTCACGCACGCACAGACAGACAGACACATGCATATCAACATTAGCATCTGACAATAATACAATCGAATATGCCACTGTGAAGCGTGAAGCGTCTGCAAAATACACTATTACTACTGACATACATAAGAGAATTGATCACTGGATTGTCTGGTCCAGACTCGATTATTTACAGACCGCGGCCATATAGCTGGAATATTGCTGAGTGCGGCGTAAAACTGACTGAGTTTAGTTTTACACCGCTTTTACCCACTCACTCTTAACTCATAAGAGAATTTTATTAGTTTGTAATATTGACAAATGATTATCATATCAGATGTCTATGATCTGATTTGCTGACCTTAAATACAACGAAATAACTCATTGAGCCCTTTTGTCTTGTGTGTCGAAATGATTTGTTATAGACGTTTGTGTTTTGCATAAAATATAATCAAATTAACTGTAACACATTTCAAAGGAATAATATTGTTGTCCAAGATATTTTTATGGATTAAATTTCTTTTTAATTTCTCTCACCGACTTTTATTTAAATTTAAATTTAAATTTTATGTTTAATCCATAAAAATATCTTGGACATCAATGTACAACTTCTAAATGCCACTGAAGAGACAGAATAATATTGTGTTTGCAACATGCACGGGCGGAGTACACTCTCAAGAAGTCACACATATGTTCGGTTTCACAGCAGATTGAAAACGCTATGATAACAACTTGTTTTTATTCTTTATACGACGCTTCAAAGCTAATTCTTCCTTCTTTCACCTAAAACGTCGTATGAATACTAATGAGAAGCTGTTATCCCTAAAAATGTGTCATATATTTATGTTCGTCCAACTTCTAAATTCCAGGAGAGGCGCTATAAAGGAACACAATTGTTTGAAGCAAACGTAATTGTACCTCCTATCAAGGGAGGTAACTCATCCCGCCTAGCCTGCAATATACAACTTAACCGTAACTCGAACACCAGGCAAGTTAAAGCAACGCTTAGTCCCTGAAAATACATAATAATGATAGAAACGCGGAAATTAATTTAAATTCAAAAGGTGCCACAGTGACGTGGGTGATTCATAATCTGAGGAAAATCAAGACTTTCTTCTTTTGGATAACAGTAAATAGAAAACTTAAACCTTTCCGCATCCATAAGAAATCTCTGCTAAAAGCAGAGTCGATTGTACAATTATGATTATGTCATGATTATATATTTGTTTCAGCAGTATTACAGCTGTACGATGTTGTTTGTAAACAGCCGAGTCTGGGCCAGACAACCCAGTGATTGTAACCATGCGATACTGTTTGTTTTGTTTGTCTGACTGACTGAGTGAGTTTGGTTTTACGCCGCTTTTAGCAATATTCCAGCAATATCACGGCGGGGGACACCAGAAATGGGCTTCACTCATTGTACCCATGTGGGGATTGGAACCCGGGTCTTCGGCGTGACGAGCCAACGCTTTAACCACTAGGCTACCCCACCACCCTTGTTTTGTTTGTTTATTTGTTTGTTTGTTTGTTTGTTTGTGTGTGTGTTGTGAAACGCCGCACTCAGCAACATTCCAGCTATATGACGGCGGCCGTAAATAATCGAGTCTTGACCAAACATAATCCAGTGATCAACAGTATGAGCATCGTTCAACGCAACTGGGATACGATGACATGTCTCAACGACAAGCATGGATAGCTGAAGACCAATGCTGGGCTGAGCGAAAGGGAAAATATACTTTAGAACTATCAACCAGCCAGAGCAAGCTTATGGGTGTTAACAGACATACCAGTGGTTCAAGGTGGCGTTAATCTCACGTACTTGATGTGAAATCACCGCGAGGACGCTCGCCGGTAGCAACAACAATATATCACTGGGCCTACTTTAACAACTTTGATTTCTATTTGACTTTCCGGCTGCATTTATACAAAAGCATGTTACTGCTGGTCCAGTGATTCCCCATTAACTATCCTGCTAACCCAGTCATCACTCCCAGGGTCAGAGTTTTGTAAACCAGCTATGCCACAATACACTGAGAGGAACAATTATTGAAGGGAGCTAACTCTTCCAGGCCAGAAAAAGTATTGTGCAACCGGTTCTCGGCGAAGCGTGGATTTACGTTGGTTAAGCCGAGTCAAGTGTATGGACGGTAAGGCGTTCCCTGTCAACAACACTCTGGCTGATAATTCTTGCATGTCTGTTATTTACCGCTCGCCGCCATATAGCTGGAATATTGCTGAGTGCGGCGTAAAACTTAACCCACTCACTCACTCATAAGAGAATTTTATTAGTTTGTAATATTGACAAATGATTATCATATCAGATGTCTATGATCTGATTTGCTGACCTTAAATACAACGAAATAACTCATTGAGCCCTTTTGTCTTGTGTGTCGAAATGATTTGTTATAGACGTTTGTGTTTTGCATAAAATATAATCAAATTAACTGTAACACATTTCAAAGGAATAATATTGTTGTCAAGATATTTTTATGGATTAAACTTGTTTTTTTTAATTTCTCTCACCGACTTTTATTTAAATTTAAATTTAAATTTTATCTTTAATCCATAAAATATCTGGACATCAATGTACAACTTCTAAATGCCACTGAAAGACAGAATAATATTGTGTTTTGCAACATGCACGGGCGAAGTTACACTCTCACACACATATGTTCGGTTTCACAGAGGACTGAAAACGCTATGATAACAACTTGTTTTTATTCTTTATACGACGCTTCAAAGCTAATTCTTCCTTCTTTCACCTAAAAGGTCGTATGAATACTAATGAGAAGCTGTTATCCCTAAAAATGTGTCATATATTTATGTTCGTCCAACTTCTAAATTCCAGGAGAGGCGCTATAAAGGAACACAATTGTTTGAAGCAAACGTAATTGTACCTCCTATCAAGGGAGGTAACTCATCCCACCTAGCCTGCAATATACAACTTAACCGTAAGTCGAACACCAGGCAAGTTAGAGCAACGCTTTGTCCCTGAAAATACATAATAATGATAGAAACGCGGAAATTAATTTAAATTCAAAAGGTGCCACAGTGACGTGGGTGATTCATAATCTGAGGAAAATCAAGACTTTCTTCTTTTGGATAACAGTAAATAGAAAACTTAAACCTTTCCGCATCCATAAGAAATCTCTGCTAAAAGCAGAGTCGATTGTACAATTCTGATTATGTCATGATTATATATTTGTTTCAGCAGTATTACAGCTGTACGATGTTGTTTGTAAACAGCCGAGTCTGGGCCAGACAACACAGTGATTGTAACCATGCGATACCGTTTGTTTTGTTTGTCTGACTGACTGACTGAGTGAGTTTGGTTTTACGCCGCTTTTAGCAATATTCCAGCAATATCACGGCGGGGGACACCAGAAATGGGCTTCACTCATTGTACCCATGTGGGGATTGGAACCCGGGTCTTCGGCGTGACGAGCCAACGCTTTAACCACTAGACTACCCCACCACCCTTGTTTTGTTTGTTTATTTGTTTGTTTGTATGTGTGTTGTGAAACGCCGCACTCAGCAACATTCCTGCTATATGACGGCGGCCGTAAATAACCGAGTCTTGACCAAACATAATCCAGTGATCAACAGCATGAGCATCGTTCAACGCAACTGGGATACGATGACATGTCTCAACGACAAGCATGGATAGCTGAAGACCAATGCTGGGCTGAGCGAAAGGGAAAATATACTTTAGAACTATCAACCAGCCAGAGCAAGCTTATGGGTGTTAACAGACATACCAGTGGTTCATGGTGGCGTTAATCTAACCTACTTGATGTGAAATCACCGCGAGGACGCTCGCCGGTAGCAACAACAATATATCACTTGGCCTACTTTAACAACTTTGATTTCTATTTGACTTTCCGGCTGCATTTATACAAAAACATGTTACTGCTGGTCCAGTGATTCCCCATTAACTATCCTGCTAACCCAGTCATCACTCCCAGGGTCAGAGTTTTGTAAACCAGCTATGCCACAATACACTGAGAGGAACAATTATTGAAGGGAGCTAACTCTTCCAGGCCAGAAAGAGTATTGTGCAACCGGTTCTCGGCGAAGCGTGGATTTACGTTGGTTAAGCCGAGTCAAGTGTATGGACGGTAAGGCGTTCCCTGTCAACAACACTCTGGCTGATAATTCTTGCATGAATAATATATACGTCTTGTATCGATCCGAGCTGCACGACGTTCTCCACTAGGTTACAGCTCCTTATCAACACAACCCAGCGAAGGTACACCGGGTAAGAAATTATTTGATTTAGTAGCCAGTCTAATTATAAGATTGCTGAAACTTTTGACTCGTGTTTAGTGTTTGAGTTGGTTTCTTCGAAAGATTGCTTATCTTCTGTTTTCTATATTAGATTATAACACAGTGTATAGACAATCCATTCGGGGTGGATACGTTCTGACTGCGGAAGGCGACACTGATTGCCTGAATGCTGGTGAAGTGTTTACATAGTGTCCTAAGTCATAACAATGTTGTACCGCCCTTCAGGTGTCTCGCCCTTGAATTGACCATAGTGATTTCTACAACACGCCCGGACATATTGCGTATCATAAACAGCTGTTCTTAAAAATCTGCTTCATTGATCAGATTGCACTGTGCACTGACTATACTGATAACGTTTGCAAGCATTCAGGTATTATAGTCAACACTTGTTTTAATGTTTTATTCAGTCATTCATTCACTCGCTTGCAGCATTTATTTATTTATTTATTTATTTATTTATTTATTTATTTATTTATTTATTTATTTATTTATTTATTTATTTATTTATTTATTTATTTATTTATTTATTTATTTATTTATTTATTCATTTATTTATTTATTTATTTGTAGTCTTTTACAGTTAGTAAGACGACTTGAGTATGAATGGATGACGTGGTACAAGAGAGAGAACATGTACTATGTATCTTACATATACCTGCGGTATCTGTGAACCCCACCCCTTGTCACGACCTTTCAACAACAACAAGGGGATCGGCCCGAGCGTGGGTAGAATCCCATTCAAATCCTAGAATCCACCCGTGTTATACATGTTCGATGTCGTGACCAAACCGGTTGGATATAAGACCCATTATACTCGAGACGACCTACCCGACTGGAAATACCGGCACAATCAGAGCATGACTATACTGGGAAACTCTTACACGCCCGACACTGCCCTGTTATTCTGCCCGCCACCCTCCCGCAGAGCTCCACACACCGCGTTTAGTTTAATGTGTCAGTTTGGTTTGTGAGTCTCGTTTAAAGCAGGCTACGGCATGTTCAGATGTAAACAGGGGATTGTCCCCGTTATACCAAAACCTGTTCTGTAATAGGTCTTGCACACCCTGGGAAGTTGTGGAACTTTAGCAATTGTCCTTTCCTTGTACAGCATGAGAGTGGTTCAGTAACGCATGATCATTATACAACCGGGTCTGAATTAGCCTTCCAGGGCCTAGATTTTCGAAGCTCTCTTGGCGCTAACATAGTCGTAAGTGCCATACCTTAACATTAACTTACGACTATCTTAGCGCTAAGAGAGCTTCGAAAATCTAGGCCCACTACCACTACTACTACGGCTGCTACTGGGGCGGTAGGGTAGCCTAGTGGTTAAAGAGTTCGCTCGTCACGCCGAAGATCCGGGTTCGATTCCCCACATGGGTACAATGTGTGAAGCCCATTTCTGGTGTCCCCCGCAGTGATATTGCTGGAATATTGCTAAAAACGGCGTAAAACAATACTCACTCACTGCTGCTGCTACTACTACTGATAGTAAACATCTGAAGTGCTAAGTTTGAGTTTGTCTTCAGCAACCCATGCTTGTCGTTAGCTGCGATCAACAGGAATGGGTGATCAGACTCGCTGAAAGGTTAATACATATCATAAATGCACATGATATTAATCATTGAATTTCCCCTTAACTGTCTTCTCCAGATGCAGTGACTTTCAAGACGACCTTGATATAGGTGGAACATGTCATAGTTTATAAACAAGCAAACATTCTTTTGTATTCGTATATGCTGTAATATCAATATGGATGCTCGCAGAATCATATTAATATTTATGCATAAAACTCTGTAAATATGCATCTCGTGACTTTCATGTGTTTTCAAGCATTCATATATTTATACATAAAGAATGAATGTAGTAGTCTCTAGCATTTGTATGACAATCAGTGTGTTCATGCGCTTTCTCGTATTCATACGTCAAGATATGGCTGAAATATTGCCGATGTGACGTTAAATATTAACTCACTCACTCTCGTATTCATACATTCACTAGCTAGTGTTCATTCATACTATCGAGAATGTAGTATTTAGCTAACATTTCGTGAGGAGATACAAAACATGTCCATCCACCCTTTTACATAGAACAAAGAACGTGGATTTACCCTTAAGGTTAACTAAATACAACGACATAATGAGTGATCCGAATATAATGGTAAACAGGAGGTCCGTGGAGATTATACTGATTAATGCAGGCAGTTGTATGATGGGATACGTTATTTATTCACTACATTGTGCCCTAACATAGCTACATCCATACATCATTCCATCCACACACGTTCCCACACGTTCCCACACGCCCGCACGCGCACACACACATGCATGCATGTATACATACATACATACATACATACATACATACATACATACATACATACATACATGCATACACATACATACATGCATGTACATACATACATACATGCATGCATACACATACATACATACATACATACATACATACATACAGACATACATACATCATACATACATACATACATACATACATACATACACATCGATACATACATACATACATACATACACACACACACACACACACACACACATACATACATACATACATACATACATACATACATACATACATACATACATACATACATACATACATACATACATACATACATACATACATACATACATACATACATACATACATACATACATACATACATACATACATACATACATATGTTTACACTGTTTACATATTTAATGTTTACACTGTTGGCCATTCACAAATTATTTTGCTTTGGGACATACTACTGTTAAGAACTACACGTCAGAACAGATACGGACACTTATTTCCAACAGCAGATAGAGAAATGTAGTTACATAGTTTACACACTGGTCCCCAGATTAGACATCTACCAGAAGAATCTCACACAAACATTCCACATTTTCTTGCTTGGATTTTTAACTCGTTTAAGTACAATGTAGAAAGAAGGCAGTATGAATAGACACCAGCCAAATCTCCAAAATAGAGCGTGACAACTGCAACACAGAGACCATATATTCACGCCACTTTCTCTACCCGTCTTGCATGACCAGTCGACCGATATAACCGGTTTGACTGTCAGGGATGTGATGCTCCGCCTCCGACCTGCTGGATGTAGATAGGGTGTACAGCAGTTGAACTATCTCACTGGGCTGTGAGCGGGTCCTCTGTACACGTTATATCCAGGATAGTTTACTTAAAGCCTAGGTAAGATCCATGACATTACTTACACTGTACTATTACAATGTAGATTGGTCTATTTCTGTTAATTCTACGTTTTGTTGGATGTTCGAGAATGTGTGATTTTCGATTTGTACTCTCTAAGTTTTATGTATTATGTATGTGCTTACTTCAGTATTCATTCTTTAGATAGCTTCAATTGGAAAGGGTTGTACATCTCGGCAGTTCTATGGCGATTGGCAGTATGACAAGGCTCCTTATCAGTGTAAATGGGTGGATGGAAGGGTGGATGGATGGGTGGGTTGGTGGATGGATGGATGGATGGATGAATGGGTGGGTGGGTAGGTAGGCAGGTAGGTAGATAGATAGGGGCCTAATAATAGCTGTAGGTCCTCGTTTGTGATAATGTACGTATGTGTGTGTGAGTGCGTGCGCGTGTGTACAAACAGTTTGTCACATGATATCAGTATCGTGTATTATGACTGTTCAGATTCAACTCTTGTTTTGGATTGAGCAGCGGAAATGGATATACCTGTATTATGTATTGATCAAACAACTGGGATATACCTGTATTATGGCTGTTCCAACAACTAGGATATACCTGTATTATGGCTGATCAAACAACTGGGATATACCTGTATTATGACTGTTCCAACAACTAGGATATACCTGTATTATGGCTGATCAAACAACTAGGATATACCTGTATTATGACTGTTCCAACAACTAGGATATACCTGTATTATGGCTGATCAAACAACTGGGATATACCTGTATTATGACTGTTCCAACAACTAGGATATACCTGTATTATGGCTGATCAAACAACTGGGATATACCTGTATTATGACTGTTCCAACAACTAGGATATACCTGTATTATGGCTGTTCCAACAACTAGGATATACCTGTATTATGACTGTTCAACAACTAGGATATACCTGTATTATGACTGTTCAAACAACTAGGATATACCTGTATTATGATTATGACTGTTCAAACAACTAGGATATACCTGTATTATGACTGTTCCAACAACTGGATATACCTGTATTATGACTGTTCAAACAACTAGGATATACCTGTATTATGACTGTTCCAACAACTAGGATATACCTGTATTACCTGTATTAACTGGATATACTGTATTATCAAACAACTAGATATACCTGTATTATGGCTGATTCTACTAGTTCCTGTATTATGGCTGATCAAACAACTGGGATATACCTGTATTATGACTGTTCTAACAACCTAGGATATACCTGTATTATGACTGATCAAACAACTAGGATATACCTGTATTATGACTGTTCTAACAACTAGTTTATACCTGTATTATAACTGATCAAACAGCTGGGATATACCTGTATTATGACTGTTCCAACAACTAGGATATACCTGTATTATGGCTAATCAAACAACTGTTCTAACAACTAGGATATACCTGTATTATGACTGTTCCAACAACTAGGATATACCTGTATATACCTGGATATTGTATTATGGCTGTTCAAACAACTAGGATATACCTGTATTATGACTGTTCTGTATTATGACTGTTCAAACAACTAGGATATACCTGTATTATGACTGTTCCAACAACTAGGATATACCTGTATTATGACTGTTCAAACAACTGGGATATACCTGTATTATGACTGTTCCAACAACTAGGATATACCTGTATTATGGCTGTTCAAACAACTAGGATATACCTGTATTATGACTGTTCCAACAACTAGGATATACCTGTATTATGACTGTT